CTGTAGGCTACAGCCTTAGTTACCAGTTAGGTACTCCAGTTAGGTACATTTACGTACTCCAGAGCCTTCATCCACCGCAGCAGCACTCGTGTATTATCGCATTTCGCGTTCGGTGTGCCTTCAACGGAGCTCAACTGAGCGGGGGTTCTTGTGCCAATCGAGCGTTGAAGCGTCGCGAAGCTTCGTGGAAGGGGTTTATTGTTCCCTTGCAGTAGCAACAGGACTCGCCGCCAATGGCGCTGGTCCAGAAGCCCGTTTCAGATCACTCTGAAGACGAGGACAGCGCATCGAATTGTTCGCTGGAGCTCGACAGTCGCACAGGTGGTGACCCGTCGCACGCGGACACGGCGACGTCGTCAGCTTCATCGTCGACGTCGTCGGAGGAAAACCTCATTTCGTTGCTGCCGGACGACTGTCTGGCGGCCGTGTTTCGGCAGCTGAACGCGGCGGACTTGGCGGCGTGCTCGCTCGTCTGTCGCAGATGGAAGAGGTGAGGCACTTGGCGGCGTGCTCGCTTGCCCGGCTCTAGTACCCTCCAAACCTACTTCTGAAACCTTTTCCGAACCTACTCCCGACCACCTTATTTCCGTACCCGCTCCCGTTCTTGCTTTCAAACTGCAGCACGGACTCGGAGTCTCGGCCGAACCTGTCGTTGCGGGCGGCGACGGAGCTGACGCAGCAGCTCCCGCGGCTGCTGGAGCGGTTCTGTGCGGTGCAGAAGCTCGTGCTGAAATGCGACCGCAACGTGCAGAGCGTAGACGACGCGGCGCTCACGCTCGTGGCGGAGCAGTGCCTGCTGCTGCGGAAGCTCAAGCTGAAGAACTGCAAGCAGGTTAGTTACATGGTAACCACCTACTTGTTACAGCAGTGTTCTAGCGTAGACGACGCGGCGCTCACGCTCGTGGCGGAACAATTCCTGCTGCTGCGGAAGCTGAAGCTGAAGAACTCCAAGCAGGTTGGTCACGTGGTAACCACATGCTTGTTACGGGCGTGCACGTGGTCGCGGTAGTCGCGGGGCCGTGCTAGTGGCGGCGGAGCAAGGGTGCGGAGGGGCAAGGGTGCGGAGGGGCAAGGGCGCGGAGGGACAGGGGTGCGGTGGCTTTTTTATTGGCGCGAAACGCTTCGTCCGCTTCCAGCTCTCCGCGCTTTACCCGCCTTCCGCTCCTTCCCCGCGTCCCGGTCGTCCCCGCCTTCCCCGCTTGTTCCGTTCAATCCGCTGGTATTTTTCCACGGCGCCCCCGGCCGTGCCGGCCGAGGGCTCGACAAGGCGCGTCCTACTCAAGAGTATCCTTCTGTCTTTCCGCCTGCCGTCCCCTCTTCTCTTCCTCCTCTCCTCCCCCCTCCCGTCCCACCTCCCACCCCCTTCCCCTACCCTCTCCCCCTCCCTCCTCCTACCCCCTCCGCGCCCTGCCCCGCCTTCGTGCAGGTAGCGGACGAGGGCATAGAGCGATTCACCCGCGCGTGTTCGCATCTGCGCAAGTGTTAGAACTTCCCCCATTTGTCTTTCCCCCGTCTTCCCCCCCGCTGTTCCCCCCCGCCTTCCCCCTTCCCTTCCCCCCGCCTGTTCCGCCCCCCGCCCCCCCCCTCTCCTCCTTTCCGCAGGTGACGGACAAGGGCTTGGAGCGATTCACCTGCGCGTGCCTGCATCTGCGCAAGTTCTTTATTCTCCCTCGTTTGTCTTTCCCGCGTCTTCTCCCCCTCTGTTCCTACCCTCCATCCCTCTTCCCTTCCCCCCGCCTGTCCCCACCCCTTCCCTTCCCATCCCCACCCATCCCCACCCTTCCTCACCCCTTCCCCCCCGCGCAGGTGACGGACGAGGGCATGGAGCGCTTCACCCGCGCGTGTCCGCATTTGCGCAAGTTCTCGGTGGGGGGCTGCGGGTTCGGCACGCGCGGACTCAACGCGCTGCTGGGCGGCTGCCCGCTGCTTGAAGACCTGACTGTGAAGCGAAGGTATGCGCGAAGTGTGTTACCGAGATGCTGCGATACGTCGCCGTCCTTTGGCCCTCATTCCCTCCCCGTCCTTTGGCGCTCCCGCACCCGACAGTGGTCCCCCGTTCCCCCGTTCCCCCGTTCCCCCATTCATCCATTCAGCCGTTCCCCCATCCCGTCGTTCCTTCCGCCCTGATTCCGCGCGCAGCATAAAACCCCTCGCCACTCTCTCCTCTGCGAGCCGTAACCTCTCCATCCTCACCGTTCTCCGCCACCACTCTCCCCCATTCCCCCTTTCCCTTCCGCCCTGTTTCCGCCTTTCTCTGCGCAGCATGAAGCCCCCCGCGGATCGCGCACTCGAGCCGCTCACTCCCTCGAATCTGAAACTCCGCCGGCTCTGCCTCAAGGACCAATCAAATTCGACCATCTGGACTCCCCTACTCGAGGCGTGCGGCAATCTCGAGACGCTCATACTCGCGCGCAACGGCGGGTACTGGGATCGCGTTCTAGAATCTTCTCTCGGGCAGAAACGGCTGCCCGAACTCTCGCAGGTCTACCTGGAAAAGCTGCAGCTGACGGACCGCGGTCTGCAGGCCGTGGCGCGCTGCCCGAAGCTCGAGGCGCTCGTAGTCGTCCGCACGCCGGATTGCACGGACGCGGGCATGGCGGCGATTGCGGCGGGATGCACGGGGCTGCGGCGGCTGCACATCGAGGGGTGGGCTCCGGGCCATATAGGCGACACGGGATTAGGCGCCATTGCGCGCTGCTGCCGCGACTTGCAGGAGCTCGTGCTCGTAGCGCACTCGTGCACCGCGGCTAGTCTTAAACCGCTCGCGACTAACTGCCGCGGGCTGGAGCGATTAACTCTCTGCTCGTCCTCCGCCATGGGGGATTTAGAAATGGCGTGTCTGGCTTACGGCTGTCCGTCGCTCAGGCGACTGTGCGTGAAGGGGTGCAGTCGGGTTACCGATCTGGGTATTATCGCGCTCGCGAACGGGTGTCCTTCGCTACAGCGGCTCAAGGTTCGCCGATGCTCGAACGTGACGCCCTCGTCGCTCGATTTTCTGCAGAAGCAGCGCCCGGCGCTCTCGATCACGCAGGAGCGCACGCGATCTGCTTCGTCGTCGTCTCACGGGCACGCGCACGCGCACGCGCATAGGGAGCACGGGGCTGGCGGAGGGGCTGGGGGAGGCGCGCGCGGGGGAGCCGGCGGAAACGGCGGCGGGGTCGGGGGAGGCGCGGGCGGAGTGGTGATTGCGGAGCCGGTTGACGGGATGATGCTGGGCGGCGGACGGCGCAGGGGGGTTGGCGCGGGAGGGGAGCATGGCGGAGGGCGCAGGGGGGAGGGCGCGGCAGCGGGGGAGCAGCTGGGCGGCGGGCGCTTAGTGCGCGACTTCCCCGGGCTTCACGCGCTGGGGCGTGCGGGCGCGATTGGCGCGGGTGGGGGAGCAGGCGGAGTGGGGGGAGGCGCGGACGAGGAGTTGACCGCAACCGCCGTGGGGATGCGGTTTCTGGGGGCTATGGGGGGCGGGGGAGGCGGAGGAGGCGGGGGGGCCGGGGGACTGGACGGCGGTCATGCGCAGGGGGGTGGCGCAGGTGGCGCAGGGGGAGGAGGATGGGGGGTGGGTAGCATGAGCAGGAGCGGCGGCGCGCGCACGCGCCTCGCGATGATGGCAACATCCCTGCGCCGGCTGATCAGCGGAGGCGGAGGCGGAGGCGGAGGCGGAGGCGGAGGCGGAGGGGCGACAGGCGGGGATATGGGCGCGGGGGGGAGTAATGGCAACGGAAGCAACCAGGCAATTACCAGCAGCATGAGTGCGGGTGCTACCCTGGGTGGGTACTACTTAAACGAAGGTGATAATAACGAAGGAGGGGTGCTTGCAACGGGAGGAGGTCTGTTAACTTCAAGTCTTTCCTTCCGCCAAAGCTTAGCAGGCGGAAGCAACAGGAGCGTTGGTATTAGCGCCAGCGGCGGTGCAGGGGGGAGTGGCAGCAGCAGCAGCAGGAGCGCCGCTGGGAGTAGCATCTCGACCGTAGGATCTGGTAGCGTCTCGGCCGTCGGATCTGGTAGTGTCTCGGCCGTAGAATCTGGTAGCATCTCGGCCGTTGGATCTGGTGGTACTTCTGGTACTGGGCATGTGGGTGCCGGTGGTGGTAATTTAAGTCTTGGCGGCAGTAGGAGCGCCAGGAATCTAAGGGGCAGCAGCAGTACGGAGGATCAAGCAGGGCCTAGCATCAGCGGTAGTAACGGTGGTAACAGTGGTAACCACCGGTCGTTTTCGTTCAATCTCCCGTCGCTGCCCATCACCGGCAGTGGCAATAGCAGTAGCAGCAGCGGCGGTGGCAGCAGCAGTGCCAGCGGCCTTAGCCGTGGGGCTGGATGCCCCTCGTTAGTGTCACCACGCGTGTTGTCACAGTCTGGGGGCGGGTTGCCTCTGGCATCACCTTCTCTCTCTCTCTCCTCGTCCCTCTCCCTCTTCTCCCACCCACGGCGCCACTCCCCTCGTTCCTCGTCCCCCTCTTCGTCCACTGCTGCTGCCCCGTCCGCTACTGCTGCTGCTAGCAGCAGTAACAGCAGTAGCAGGAGCGGTAGCAGCAGTAGCAGGGGGGGCAGTGGAAGCAGCAGTGGTGGTGGCGCTGGCGTTGGTAGTGGGAGTAATGGGCATGTAGGGACAAGGACAGGAGCAGCAGCAGCAGTAGGGGCAGCTGCAGCAGGAGGAGGAGCGAGTCACTCATTGCTGCGACAGCCCCTGCAGTATCCCATACGGCAGGAGGCACAGCAGGCACACGCAGCAACACCAGCCGCAGCAGCAGCAGCTCTCCCTGCTGTAGGCTCTGCTACAGCTGTTGCTACAGCCGCTGCTACTACTGGCTTGGCTGCTGGCGGTGCTACTGGCACCAGTGCAGGTGCTGGGAGTGATGGTAGCTTTCCGTTCCTGTAGCATGAGGATAGTATGAGCAGCAGCAGGGGCGGGATGGCATCAGCAGTGGTAGCAAGAGCAGCAGCAGCAGCAGCAGCAGGTGCAGCAGGAGCGGAAGAGAGGAGAAGAAATGGCTAAAGAAGGGCTGCTAAAAGGACAAGGCAGGCGAGATGGTGCGGGGTAGCTTAGAGGAGAGGTGGTGCAGGCTACTCTCTCTCTCTCTCTCTCTCTCTCTCTCTCTCTCTCTCTCTCTCTCTCTCTCTCTCTCTCTCTCTCTCTCTCTCTCTCTCTCTCTCCCCCCCCCCCCCCCCCTCTCCCTCTCTCCCTCTCCCCCCGTCTCTCGTCTTTCCTCCATTATTACTTCTCCCTGCAAACTGTTCGTTGACATTTTTCTCAAGCTCGCCTATCTTTCTTCTCATCCACCCCCTCTTCCCCATCCATTCTCAACCCATCGACTCTCTCCTGCAACCTTGTTCGCAAATAACTCCCATATGGAGGCGGTTTTTCCATGCAAAGCTTTCTCGGTGTTAGGTCGGGGGGCTACGGCAGCTAAACCCCCCCACCAGGTGCAGTACCTCGGAACATGCTGGCCCTGTAACTCAAGCCACAGGGTGTAATCAGCGCCAGATAGTGAAAGAAAGGGGAAGCAGGCAGAGCAGAGGAGTAAAGTTCGATTCAAGGACTGGGTGGGTGGTATGGCGATTTCTAGGCAATAGGAGGGTTGGTTTTTGGTCGGTTGCTGGAGCGGCTGGTTGGTTTAGGGGGAAAGGGTGGACGCAAGGGCTGAAAAGTAAGTCTCGGGTGTTTTTTTGCTTGACACAGACTTGTTTCTTTAAATATTGAATATGTTAGTTGCTTATTCCAGGTCTTCCTTCCTGAAATGTTAGGGCGTTATCTAACAAGTTTTGAAATCTGTTGAGGAACAAGTAACATACTATATTGAAAGAAACAACAATTATGATCATATCAGACTTCTATAAAAACAAGGGATATGAAGTGTAATGCCTAGGCTTTGCGACAACTATCCGAGCATATACAAAAGCACATGAGTCAATGCAATCACACTAAGCATAGTTACTGAAGCCTGCATACATCCCGCCTTGTCGTCCAGATAGTCGAAGTCAAATGGCTCGATATAGTCACCGTACTCATAGTCCTCGTAATAGTCAACTGGATACACGAGCGGTCTGAAGCCTCTTAAAGTCGTCTTGGGCCGGCGACCAGATGTCGTGCGGCGAAAATATGTAGACGTTGCGATGCTGCTGCCGCGACTGCTGCTGCTGGTACCGCTCCCGCCACCGCCCCAGCTCCTGCTCCTACTGCTGCTCCTACTGCTGCTCCGGCTGCTGCTGCTTCCCCTGCTGCTTCCGCCTCTGCTGCTACCGCCGTGACTCCCCCCATGCCCACTCCCGCTCCCGCCTGCTCCCCCGCTCCCGCCCTTCATGGCCCTTCTGCTGTGAGCACTGCTGCTATTTGCGAATTTCTCTATAGCGAGAATGGCTTGTGGTTCGGATTGTGGCTGGATGCTCGCGTTGTTCGAAATCAGCATTTTTTTTAAAAGCGCTGGTCTATTCGGCGCGTGCTGGTTCCGTTCGTTGTACGCGGTATTAGGGAGTGCAGTAGTGGTGAGAAGTAACTGGGACAGTAGCACAAGAAGCACAGGTGTTACATACGCGATTCGGAAGGGGACCCAAGCAGCCCAGTCAGTAGCCATGAAGAACGGGTGATATTGATACCCAGAAATCGAATGCGCAAGTGTTTTTGGAGTTCTGTCTGTCAAATGTTTCGTTGCGGCGTCACAGGAGAAATCAGTTTCGAGGCGCGTCTAACTCGTCTCGTTCGGTGTGTGGCGCCAAGTCAAGGTGAAAATCGGCACGCCCTACGTTCCGCGGCAAGCAGACGCAGGGAAGAAATGTAAAGCAAAACAATGATCTCCCAGAGAGGCGAAATGACGGAATGAAGAAGAGCGAACCCAGAAAAAAGCGCGACGAAACCGATATGGTAGGAAAAGCAACGGCTAGCTCGAGAGGTGTTCGAGTTGACTCGGAAATGTTTGTAGGTGCATTCGAGATTGCACATTTTGGAAACACGTAAGTATTTGTGCTGGAGCATGTGCGCTGCGCCTGCCGCTTGGCACAAGGGGAAGAAGAAGATAACCGAAAGGGGAAGATGGGTGAGCGGGAGGGTTGGGGGGAGGGAGAGAGGGGTGGAGAGAGAGGGAGGAGAGGGGTGGCACAAGGCCGCACGGAATCGGGCGGAGGGTGTTTCTCGGAGCGGAACGGAGCTCCAGCTGGAGGAAGCCGCGCAGTGGGGAGGAAGCAGGGGGAATGGCGTGCAACGCAGGGAATGCCGTCGATCCATGGGGTGCGCTCCGCGTGGTGTGGTGTGGTGGTGTGAAGAAATAGGTGGTGGTTGAACGGGGGGGGTCCCGACATGAGGAACGCTTGAATACTAGTTCATTTTTACAGCTTCGGATTCTTTTGTGAGGTAGCGATGTAGCTTCGTTTCAAACAATTGGAGCTGGACACTATATTCACTTAAGCGCTACTTCAACGAGTATCGCAGATGTTCGTGAACACTGTGCGATTCGTGCAACCAGATTTAGAGAGCTAGATTCTGGCTCAAATTTGCATGTAACGAAGGTTCTCGAAGACCGTCAAATTAGAGTAACTGTACTCTGCAACTTAAACCGGTATGATGCTCCATATCTTCGGTAAAATACTCCCGCCAGAACAGAATTCAGAACAGATTTCCCAGGCGAAGCGCGTGCAGTGAGGTTACGTGCTGAACGAGATAAAGGCCTCAGGTTGACGAAAGCTCGAAATCGCAGTTACCGTTCTCGCCACTCGCATCTGTTTCTCTCGCTTGTATCCACATTTATTCTGAACACACTAGTTGTAACGGAGGGCCACAATTTTGCTCGGCGAAGGAATTTGCGAGAAGAATGCGAGGAACACATTCTGCAGATTTCGCGCATTTCCCCTTCCCCCAATCTCCCCCGCATGGCTCCGCCAGTCGCCGCGCAAGCCGCGCGTGCCTTCCAGCGCCGTTGCATGCCTTTCCTCACGCCCTCTTCCCCTCCGCAGCCAGCGCTCTCCTCGTTCTCTCCGCTTTTCACGCCGCGCCTCGGTCAATCGCTGTCGGAATATGCGTGTCGGGCGGAATGCCCTTTGATTTCATCAGCGAAACTAAGGCGTCTTCACTAGAACTCGCATTATCCACGCGACACGACGAAGCCACGTGGCAGGTTACCAATGGGCAAATCAACGGCGAGAGGAGATCCGCACGGGAACGGCGGAAGCGCCGTGAACGCGATCGAATGCAGCAGCGCCAGTGCGCGTTAAACGACGAAGCTTCCTCTGCTGGTTCCTCTCCTGACGCGACTCATGATCAACCGGCGTCTGCCTGCATTCCCTCATCTGCCTCCTTCCATGCCCTCCCCGCTTCCTCCTCTTCCGCTTCCTCCTCTTCCGCTTCCTCCTCTTCCGCTTCCTCCTCTTCCGCTTCCTCCTCTTCCGCTTCCTCCTCTTCCGCTTCCTCCTCTTCCGCTTCCTCCTCTTCCGCCTCCCCCTCTTCCGCCTCCCCCTCTTCCGCCTCCTCCTCTTCCACTTCCTCCTCTTCCGCCTCCTCCCTTCCTCCCTCTTCTTTTCTTCCCCAAACCACTCCCTCCCACATTGCCTCAACCCACTCCTCTTCGTCCTCTGCTTCTCCCGCCTCCGCTGCTCCCCCGCCACTTCCCCATCCGCCCCCGCTCCTGCGCCCGTCATCCTCCCCCTGCTCTCCGCCTCTCCGCCCCTGCCCTCCTCCCCCGCGCCCTTGACTCTCCCTTCTGCGCCGCTCCCCTTAGGCCCAGGTAGGCAGATTAGGGAAAAAGGTGGAAGCTTCATGACGAACCTGGGGTATGAGACGATTTTCTAGTCGACTCAAAAATAGCTTTATGACGGACCCGGGGATAAGGCAGAACATTTACACCTTTTACAAAGGTCCCGGGGAAAAAAAAAAAAAAAAAAAGGATATTGGGGGAGAGAGAGTGGCTGCAAGGGGGATATGAGGGGCAGGGGAAGGGGGGGAGCTGGGCGGGGCATGTGAGATTGTAATTCGTTTTTTTTTTTTTTTTTTTTTTTTTTTTAATCTCAATTCATTGAGCTGTAATTGTTTCCTGGCCCTTGATTGCTCTGTTGGTTTTCCGTTACTCCCCTCCTCTCCCTCCATCAGCCCTCTCCTCTCTCCTTCACTACCTGTTGACTGGCATTGACTGGCATTGACTGGCATTGACTGGCATTGACTGGCATTGACTGGCATTGACTGGCATTGACTGGCATTGACTGGCATTGACTGGCATTGACTGGCATTGACTGGCATTGACTGGCATTGACTGGCATTGACTGGCATTGACTGGCATTGACTGGCATTGACTGGCATTGACTGGCATTGACTGGCATTGACTGGCATTGACTGGCATTGACTGGCATTGACTGGCATTGACTGGCATTGACTGGCATTGACTGGCATTGACTGGCATTGACTGGCATTGACTGGCATTGACCAGCATTGACTGGCATTGACTGGCATTGTCTTGCTGGCAGGGCACTTTGAGTATCTGCCGCTGAAGGCTCCTTTCCGCATGGTCATGGGGGTGCAGCCCATGGCGATGGATGACTGGATAGAGGTGCGTTGACCCACGTTGACCTGCGTTGACTGACTCTCAGTGCACTTTGACTAGCTGCCACTTCTCTCCTCATGGCAATGGGGTTCCAGGCCATGGCGATGGATGACTGGATACAGGTGCGTTGACTGGCGTTGACCCACTTTGACTGGATACAGGTACATCAGCCCACGTTGACTGGTGTTGACTGCATACAGGTGCGTTGGCCCGCGTTGACTTGAGTTGACTGGATAGAGGTGCGTTGACCCACGTTGACCCGTGTTGACTGGATAGAGGTGCGTTGCCTCCATTGACTTACGTTGACTTTTGTCCCAGCCTCCTTCCCTTCCTTCCCTCCCCCTCTCACCCCCTATCCCTCTTCTCCCGCCCCGCAGATCAACTTCAGCGGCAGGAAATGGTTCGAAGAAAGTTTTTTTTCTAGCAAATACTGTTTGATAATTCTCACAAGTTGTTTCAATCAATTAATTTTTTTATACCCCCCTCCCTCTTCCTCCCTTTCCCCACCCCAGCCCCGCCTTTCTCCCTGCTGTTTCTTCAGATCGATCCGTTCTATCAGCAGGAAATGGCTTTCGATCCGTTCTATCAGCAGGAAATGGCTTCAAGGAAGGCCATTCTAGCAGTTGCTCTCACCCCTCTCTCTCCCCTTTCTACTCCCCCCCTCCCCCGCCTCCCCTTTCGTCCCCGTTTCCCTGCTGTCTTGTCTTCAGATCGACCCGTTCTACCGGCAGGAGATGGCTTTAAGGAAGGCCATTCTAGCAAATCACCGGAGCACAGTCATTGGCAGAGTTGGAGGGGAGAGGAGGAGAGGGGAGTGTGAGGGGAGCAGGGGCAGGGATGAAGGGGAGTGTGAGGGGGGGAGAGTGAGGGAGGGAGGGGAGGAGTGGGAGGGGGAGGGAGTGAGGGAGAGAGTGAGGGAGGCGGAGTGGGAGTTACTAAACATGCTGGCGGATTTTCTGCCTTCCCGATTCCCACACATGTAAGTGGTACGGATGCTACACATGTACGTGGTACGGATACCACACATGCTGGTACGTAGGTATTGTGTTTGCTGTTTCAAGTGACTCCCAAAAGATGTGGTCTCTAATCCCCCTGTCTTTTTGAGACGTCTCAAAAGTGGTAAGTCTCTAATCCCCCTGTCCTTTTGAGACGTCTCAAAAGTGGTAAGTCTCTGATCCCCCTGTCCTCCTCCCCTCCTTCCACCTCCCCAGCTTCTCCCCCCCACACCATCATCTGCACAACCATGCCACGGGCCAAGATTTGTTCAGCCTGCCAGCTCCTTCCTCTACCCCTCCCTTCCTCTACCCCTCCCTTCCTCTACCCCTCCCTTCCTCTACCCCTCCCTTCCTCTACCCCTCCCTTCCTCTACCCCTCCCTTCCTCTACCCCTCCCTTCCTCTACCCCTCCCTTCCTCTACCCCTCCCTTCCTCTACCCCTCCCTTCCTTTACCCCTCCCTTCCTCTACCCCTCCCTTCCTCTACCCCTCCCTTCCTCTACCCCTCCCTTCCTCTACCCCTCCCTTCCTCTACCCCTCCCTTCCTCTACCCCTCCCTTCCTCTACCCCTCCCTTCCTCTACCCCTCCCTTCCTCTACCCCTCCCTTCCTCTGCGCCTCCCTTCCTCTGCGCCTCCCTTCCCCTCTATCCTTTCCCTCCCCTCATCCTCCCCCAGCTTCTCCCTCCCACACTATCATCTGCACAACCATGCCATGGGTGATTTGTTTGACCTGTCAGATTCACTTATGCAATTTGTGAATCGCTTTTGAGAGTTCTCAAGACTGTCAGATTCACTAATGCAGCCCCTCTTCACCGTTTCATCACTCTCCCTTCTCCTCTCTCCGCTCTCTCCCCCACCTCACCTCCTCCCCAGTTTCTCCCTCTCCCACCATCACCTGCACAACCATGCCACGGGTGATTCGTTCAATTTGTCGGATCCATCACAGGACCCTCTAGAGATCATCGCTCAATTCATACAGGTGATGATGGGTTGATGCCCTTAGTAGAGTGAGTGGATTCGGTATACCATTGGTTGGTGTAGAGTGAGTGAGTGCTCTGGTGCTCTCGTGCTCTCGTGCTCTCGTGCTCATCAGTGGACCATCTACAAGCGTGTTTGCCTTGTTATCCCTCGCCCTTCCCCGTTCTGCTCTTGTCCTACATCCTTATCGTTTTGTCAATGTCCCTTTGTTCCCCATGTCCTTCTCATTCTCGCTCCTTCTTGCAGGAGGATATTTGCCTCATGCTCCCTCGCCCTTCCTTCTCCTCCTCTTCCACTTCCTCCTCCTCCCCTTCCTCCTCCCTTTCCTCCTCCTCTCCATCCACCTCCTCCTCTTCCTCTTCCTCCACTCCTCCACTCTGTCTAGTCTCCGGTGCTGTCCTCTTCCCAAACGGCTGGATTCTGCCCGAAAAACTCGGGCTGCCCACCGCACAAATCCACATGCCCGTTCCCCTCTACGAGTCGACAATTTCTCGGGCAGTCGACAAATTTCTGAACAACCTTGAGCCGGGCAGCCCGTTTGAGCGCTCCAATTGGACGATAACCGACGACTCGCAGCTGTTCCGGCCGATTTCTGAGGTTCGTTTTAAATACTCATGAATCAGGAGTTGTTCTTGCAGCAAAAGTTCAGCAGTGTGCTCGATGTGTCTTGTGTTGTTGGAATCTCTGCCCTACATGGCCCCACATGGCCCCACATGGCCCCACATGGCCCCACATTCCCCACATGCCCGCTCTGCTTCCTGCGTTACAGGCATCATTTGCCTCCCTCGTGGAGGCAAAAGCAGGTCTGTCGCTTGTTCTTTAAAATCTCTGCCCCAAATCAGAATCTTCAGGCGGTGCTGCTGCCACCACAAGTGTGTTCTCTTATGGTTTCGAACCTCTGCTTCCACGTGCCCCACTGCTCCCACGTGGCCCACTGCTCCCACGTGGCCCACTGCTCCCACGTGGCCCACTGCTCCCACGTGGCCCACTGCTTCCACGTGGCCCACTGCTCCCGGCGCCACAGGCATCATATGCCTCCCTGGTGAAGGCAAAAGCAGGTCTGTCAAATCATGAGCTCCAAAGAGAGCAGCAGCAGCAAGAGGAGAAGCGCGAGGGTGAAGGTGGTGATTTGATAACAGTGGAGAGTGCTGGATGGAAGCTGTTCACTCGCTGTGAAAGAGAAACGTTTGTGCGCCTGCCCAGGTGAGTGTGCTGCCCAGGTGAGTGTGCTGCCCAGGTGAGTGTGCTGCCCAGGTGAGTGTGCTATGGGGGATCGGAGGTATGGTAAGTATGCCTGCTCAAGTGAGTATGCCTGCTCAAGTGAGTGTGGAATGAGGAACCAGCGGTTCCAATAAGTGTCATGAGAGTGAGTGTCTGCTCCAGAGAGTGTCTGTTCCAATAAGTGTGGAATGATGGACCAGGGGTGGTTTGATGGGGGACCAGAGGTTGTGTGATGGGTTTCTGCTCCAGTGAGTGTCTGCTCCAGTGAGTGTCTGCTCCAGAGAGTGTCTGTTCCAATAAGTGTGGAATGAGGGACCAGGGGTGGTTTGATGAGTGCCTTCCCATGTGAGGGCCTCCACACACCTTCCACACCACACACTCCCCCCTTCCCCACACACCCCTTCCAGCACCAGAGCGGTACTGTTTACTTGAAAGAATTCTCAGAAGTAAAATCCACACAGCACCAGAGCAGTACTGTTTACTTAAAAGTAAAATCCACACAGCACCAGAGCAGTACTGTTCACTTTAAAGTAAAATCCACACAGCACCAGAGCAGTACTGTTCACTTTAAAGTAAAATCCACACAGCACCAGAGCAGTACTGTTCACTTTAAAGTAAAATCCACACAGCACCAGAGCAGTACTGTTCACTTTAAAGTAAAATCCACACAGCACCAGAGCAGTACTGTTTACTTAAAAGTAAAATCCACACAGCACCAGAGCGGTACTGTTTACTTAAAAGTAAAATCCACACAGCACCAGAGCGGTACTGTTTACTTAAAAGTAAAATCCACACAGCACCAGAGCGGTACTGTTTACTTAAAAGTAAAATCCACACAGCACCAGAGCGGTACTGTTTACTTAAAAGTAAAATCCACACAGCACCAGAGCGGTACTGTTTACTTAAAAGTAAAATCCACACAGCACCAGAGCGGTACTGTTTACTTAAAAGTAAAATCCACACAGCACCAGAGCGGTACTGTTTACTTAAAAGTAAAATCCACACAGCACCAGAGCGGTACTGTTTACTTAAAAGTAAAATCCACACAGCACCAGAGCGGTACTGTTTACTTAAAAGTAAAATCCACACAGCACCAGAGCGGTACTGTTTACTTAAAAGTAAAATCCACACAGCACCAGAGTGGTACTGTTTACCATCCAGACACATGAAGCCACTGTCATCCATGCCCCCCTCCCTTCTTCCCTCCCCGCCATCATCTCCCTTCCACCCCCTCTCCAGCACCAGAGCGGTACTGTTTACCATCCGCACACACATGAAGCCACTGAAAGTGTTCTCCGGGCGGTGCCAGCTGGCTGCTGACGTGGCGCGGGCCATGGACGCGTTGCCAAGCGAGATCAGGCGGTACAAGATGATTGGAGGGCGGCTTGCTGACGTGGCACGGGAGTATCTGATTCGATGCTCAGAGGGGCTTGCATAAGGAATTAGATTTCAGATGTCCAAACCTAAAGGGTTCAGGCTTGTACAGTACCTTAGCTCTGATTGTTGTACCATAATGTGATTGTAATCAAGTCAGATGTGGGTTAGGGGACTCTAGTTATGAGACATTTAAATCTGATCACAACTTACCGTGTTACTACAAAGGAATTCCAACCAAAAAGAGGTAGGAAGACAGGTCACTACATGTCCTTCAAATCAAACACAGCCAGTGTATTTTACACCCTTGCAGCACAGAAATCAACTCTGTATTCAAACCAGCCAAATGCACACATGATTCCTATTGTCTTGGTCAAGGCAATCTGGGGTGTTCAGCAGCGGTCGGTCGATGGGTTTCCAACTGCTTCCATCATGGGGCGATACTTGTCCTGGTGGGGATTCATACATGCACACAGAAACGCACATAGGCATGCACACAAGCAGTTGAAATGCCACACATACAAAGGTAGAGGGGTGTTAAGCATGCCTAGATGGCTCCAGCAGTGGTCGGTGGATGGATGGGTTGCAGACTGCTTCCATCATGGGGCGATACTTGTCCTGCTGGGCATGCACGCATGCATGCTGTACTGAAGATACACACATACGCCATACGGTATACACGCACCGTTTGCCAACATGCACACATGAAAACATGCACACACAAATGCAGACATACATATCTGTATGATAGATATTGAGTAACAACTCACCATTCATTCAACTCCTCGATGATTGCGGGTAAAGAGAGGACTTTTGAGGCGCCTCGAGCGTAACAACTCACCAGCATCTGAGTGCACTTCTCTTGCGCATACTCAGTGAGCTCCAAGTCAAGAGCATCAGCACCATGTACATATCCATCCATGCATATCAGATAAAAAAAGAAGTGGGAGTAGAACTCACCAGCATCTGAGTGTACTTGTCCCGTGCAAATTCCGTGACCTCCAAGTCGAGAGCATTGAGCTCCATGTGAGGTACATGAATAGAAGATGGATAAAGGGATGAGTAACCACTCACCAGCATCTGAGTGTACTTGTCTCGCGCATACTCAGTGAGCTCCAAGTCAAGAGCATTCAGCTCCTTGATGCGCCTCATAACATCTTCTGGTATGCGCGCTCGCTCCTGGCGTGGGATGGAAAGAGAGGGAAAGAGACGGAGAGTCGGAGTGGGATGAAGTAAGCTTCACGTTCAGCTCCTTGATGCGCCTCAATCACGTCCTCTGCTATGCGTGCTCGCTCCTGGCGTGGGATGGATGAGAGAGGGTCGTGGGAATGGTAGGGAGTGTATGCATATTGGGAGGGAGGAAAGAGAGCGCTCAGCTCCTAGACGGGACTCTTCACGTCTTCTGGCATGCTCGCTCCTGGTGTAGAATGGTGTTGGGGAGAGAGTGGGACGAAATGAGCCTCACATTCAGCCCCTTAATGCAACTCGTGGAACACTCAGCTGAAGGCAACGGGCATCAGTATTGTAGGGATTTTTTTAGAATTCCAAAAAAATCTCAGCTTAAGGCAATGGCGTGAATGCCTCTTGGAACACTCAGCTGAAGGCAAGGCAACGCGCCTCAGTATTGTGCATGCCTCTCCCATCCCAGCAGCGTACCTTCCTGGAGAACTTGAGCGGGCCCATGTGGCGGAAGGCAATGAGCTCGTTCAGTTGTGTGAGTGTTCATGAAGTCACACTTTCACGGACCATGGCTGTAACTGGTACCTCATGCATGCCTCTCCCATCCCAGCAGCGTACCTTCCTGGAGAATTTGAGCGGGCCCATGTGGCGGAAGGCAATGAGCTCGTTCAGCTGAGTGAGCTCCATCTGATCCTTGAGGCACTCCGCGTACTGCTCTCTGATGCTCTTCCACTGGTGCGGGGAGGGAGAGGGAGGTCAAGCAAGTCAGCAGGGTCAAGAAAGTCAACAGCACGAAGGAAGTGAGGAAGTGGGAGTGTGAAGGGCTGCGGCAGCGTGAGCTCCATCTGGTGCTTGAGACACTCCGCTACTGCTCCCTGATAAGTCGAGTTTTGAGTCGACTCAAAACTCCGCTACTGCTCCCTGATGCTCTTTTACTAGTGGGAGGGGGGGGGGGGGGGGGGGGGGGGGGGAAGGCCAAGCAAGCCAGGAGGGTAAAGCAAGCCAGCAAGTCAACAGCGTGAAGGAAGTGAGGAAGGAGGAGAGTGGATGGCTCAGCTGGGTGAGTCGAGTTTTGAGTCGACTCAAAACTCGACTCATTACACGCGGATTTTGAGTCGACTCAAAACTCAAGCAAGTCAACAACATGAAAGAAGTGAGGAAGGAGGAGAGTGGATGGCTCAGCTGGGTGAGCTCCATCTGATCCTTGAGACACTCTGCGATTTGCTCCCTGATGCTCTTCCACTGGTGGAGGGAGGGAGGTCAAGGGAGTCAACGGGGTCAACGGGGTCAAGGAGAGTGCTGGGATAAGAATGGTGAGCTCCATCTGGTCCTTGAAACGCTCCGCTTACGCTTGAAACGCTCCGCTTACGCTTGAAACGCTCCGCTTACGCTTGAAACGCTCCGCTTACGCTTGAAACGCTCCGCTTACGCTTGAAACGCTCCGCATACGCTTGAAACGCTCCGCATACGCTTGAAACGCTCCGCATACGCTTGAAACGCTCCGCATACGCTTGAAACGCTCCGCATACGCTTGAAACGCTCCGCATACGCTTGAAACGCTCCGCATACGCTTGAAACGCTCCGCATACTTCCCTTGAAACGCTCCGCATACTTCCCTTGAAACGCTCCGCATACGCTTGAAACGCTCCGCATACGCTTGAAACGCTCCGCATACTTCCCTTGAAACGCTCCGCATACTTCCCTTGAAACGCTCCGCATACGCTTGAAACGCTCCGCATACGCTTGAAACGCTCCGCATACGCTTGAAACGCTCCGCATACTTCCCTTGAAACGCTCCGCATACTTCCCTTGAAACGCTCCGCATACTTCCCTTGAACGCTCCGCATACTTCCCTTGAACGCTCTTCCACTGGTGGGGGAAGGCCGGTCAACCAAGTCAACAGGTTGACATGGGTTGATAAGCTCAACAGGTTCTGACCAGAATTGAATCCACCTTGCTCCTATAGTTGAGAGGAAATTTTCCAGGCTCAAAGAAATCCGCCTTGCCCGACCCGAAGAAGATCAAATCCACCTCCTAAAGAATCACCAGCTCCCATGAATCAAGCAGAGCACTCACCGGCCTCTCTCCCTCCTTGGTCTTCTTCTTGGGCCTCTTGCACCGCCCCCGGGGGTTCTTGCCTGATCGCATGGGACACGGGGGCATGCATTACATGGGGAATATAAGACACATGCTATCAGGGAGTTGGGGGGACTGTGCTTTGTGGGCATGAGGACAGGTGGGGATGGAGGTATGTGAGGGAGAAGGCATGTGAGGAAGAAGGAAGGCATGTGAGGAAGAAGGAAGGCATGTGAGGAAGAAGGAAGGCATGTGAGGAAGAAGGAAGGCATGCGAGGAAGAAGGAAAGCATGTGAGGAAGAAGGAAGGCATGTGAGGAAGAAGGAAGGCATGTGAGGAAGAAGGAAGGCATGTGAGGAAGAAGGAAGGCATGTGAGGAAGAAGGAAGGCATGTGAGGAAGAAGGAAGGCATGCGAGGAAGAAGGCAGGCATGTGAGGAAGAAGGAAGGCATGTGAGGAAGAAGGCATGAGGGCACATGGGAATGGACAAGGGAGAGCTTTACAGGGAAGGAGAGAGGGAGGGAGGTAGGGAGGGGGGAAGGGAGGAAGGGAGGGAGGGAGGGAGGGAGGGAGGGAGGGAGGGAGGGAGGGAGGGAGGGAGGGAGGGAGGGAGGGAGGGAGGGAGGGAGGGAGGGAGTTAGGGAAAATTCATGAGGGTGAATGCTGGAGTGAATGAATTGAAGCATATATGGCAGGGCTTCCGGGATCCCTCCCTCTAAGGTGCGTCAGTATAGCTGACCTGGGAGGGTGAAGGCCTGGGAGGAGAGGGAGCGATCGATCACAGCCAGCAGCAGCTCGATGGACTCCTCCATGCGGTCGGTGAATCCGAGGTGGATTAGGGCATCGACCCGTGCCTGCATGGGAGTCACACGGGCAGATGTAAGATGGTAAGATGGTAAGATGGGCAGTGGCAGAACAGAAGCACAGCCGGCAGCGGCTCGATTGACTCCTCCGTGCGATCGGGTGAAGCCCAGATGGATCAATGCGTCCACCCGTGCCTGCATAGAAGAGGAGGGGGGAAGACGGTGACATGGGGAAGGCGGATGGTAGCTGTCAGCCTGGGCACATGGAAGGCGGATGGTAGCTGTCAGCCTGGGCACATGGAAGGCGGATGGTAGCTGTCAGCCTGGGCACATGGAAGGCGGATGGTAGCTGTCAGCCTGGGCACATGGAAGGCGGATGGTAGCTGTCAGCCTGGGCACATGGAAGGCGGATGGTAGCTGTCAGCCTGGGCACATGGAAGGCGGATGGTAGCTGTCAGCCTGGGCACATGGAAGGCGGATGGTAGCTGTCAGCCTGGGCACATGGAAGGCGGATGGTAGCTGTCAGTCTGGGCACATGGAAGGCGGATGGTAGCTGTCAGCCTGGGCACATGGAAGGCGGATGGTAGCTGTCAGCCTGGGCACATGGAAGGCGGATGGTAGCTGTCAGCCTGGGCACATGGAAGGCGGATGGTAGCTGTCAGCCTGGGCACATGGAAGGCGGATGGTAGCTGTCAGCCTGGGCACATGGAAGGCGGATGGTAGCTGTCAGCCTGGGCACATGGAAGGCGGATGGTAGCTGTCAGCCTGGGCACATGGAAGGCGGATGGTAGCTGTCAGCCTGGGCACATGGAAGGCGGATGGTAGCTGTCAGCCTGGGCACATGGAAGGCGGATGGTAGCTGTCAGCCTGGGCACATGGAAGGCGGATGGTAGCTGTCAGCCTGGGCACATGGAAGGCGGATGGTAGCTGTCAGCCTGGGCACATGGAAGGCGGATGGTAGCTGTCAGCCTGGGCACATGGAAGGCGGATGGTAGCTGTCAGCCTGGGCACATGGAAGGCGGATGGTAGCTGTCAGCCTGGGCACATGGAAGGCGGATGGTAGCTGTCAGCCTGGGCACATGGAAGGCGGATGGTAGCTGTCAGCCTGGGCACATGGAAGGCGGATGGTAGCTGTCAGCCTGGGCACATGGAAGGCGGATGGTAGCTGTCAGCCTGGGCACATGGAAGGCGGATGGTAGCTGTCAGCCTGGGCACATGGAAGGCGGATGGTAGCTGTCAGCCTGGGCACATGGAAGGCGGATGGTAGCTGTCAGCCTGGGCACATGGAAGGCGGATGGTAGCTGTCAGCCTGGGCACATGGAAGGCGGATGGTAGCTGTCAGCCTGGGCACATGGAAGGCGGATGGTAGCTGTCAGCCTGGGCACATGGAAGGCGGATGGTAGCTGTCAGCCTGGGCACATGGAAGGCGGATGGTAGCTGTCAGCCTGGGCACATGGAAGGCGGATGGTAGCTGTCAGCCTGGGCACATGGAAGGCGGATGGTAGCTGTCAGCCTGGGCACATGGAAGGCGGATGGTAGCTGTCAGCCTGGGCACATGGAAGGCGGATGGTAGCTGTCAGCCTGGGCACATGGAAGGCGGATGGTAGCTGTCAGCCTGGGCACATGGAAGGCGGATGGTAGCTGTCAGCCTGGGCACATGGAAGGCGGATGGTAGCTGTCAGCCTGGGCACATGGAAGGCGGATGGTAGCTGTCAGCCTGGGCACATGGAAGGCGGATGGTAGCTGTCAGCCTGGGCACATGGAAGGCGGATGGTAGCTGTCAGCCTGGGCACATGGAAGGCGGATGGTAGCTGTCAGCCTGGGCACATGGAAGGCGGATGGTAGCTGTCAGCCTGGGCACATGGAAGGCGGATGGTAGCTGTCAGCCTGGGCACATGGAAGGCGGATGGTAGCTGTCAGCCTGGGCACATGGAAGGCGGATGGTAGCTGTCAGCCTGGGCACATGGAAGGCGGATGGTAGCTGTCAGCCTGGGCACATGGAAGGCGGATGGTAGCTGTCAGCCTGGGCACATGGAAGGCGGATGGTAGCTGTCAGCCTGGGCACATGGAAGGCGGATGGTAGCTGTCAGCCTGGGCACATGGAAGGCGGATGGTAGCTGTCAGCCTGGGCACATGGAAGGCGGATGGTAGCTGTCAGCCTGGGCACATGGAAGGCGGATGGTAGCTGTCAGCCTGGGCACATGGAAGGCGGATGGTAGCTGTCAGCCTGGGCACATAGAAGGCGGATGGTAGCTGTCAGCCTGGGCACATGGAAGGCGGATGGTAGCTGTCAGCCTGGGCACATGGAAGGCGGATGGTAGCTGTCAGCCTGGGCACATGGAAGGCGGATGGTAGCTGTCAGCCTGGGCACATGGAAGGCGGATGGTAGCTGTCAGCCTGGGCACATGGAAGGCAGATGACTGGATGGATGCAGCTCCATTGACTCCACCATGCGGTCTGTGAAGCCCAGATGGATTAGCACATCCACACGCGCCTGCATGGATGGTGACATGGGCAGATGCAAGGCGGATGGTCACATGCAGCTTGAGAGACCACTCCATGCACACACACACTGCCTCAACTGCAAGGTTCAGGAGAACCTGTCGCTCTCTCAAGCTACTCACAACAGGTTCAGCAACACCCAAAGCGTTCATTCCCTCCCACCCGACTGCCTCCACACCCCTCCCTCCCCCACCCACCTTGGCGAGCTTCAGCATCTCCCCTCCCAGGTCGGGGTGTTGCAGCACACACTGCTTCAGTCGCCACCTGCTCATACCCCCGTGCCTGGCAGTCTTTATACTAGAGCCTAGGCTACCCATGCTTTCCCCAGTCCCCACCTTGGCGAGCTTCAGCATATCCCCTCCCAGGTCCGGGTGCTGCAGCACACACTGCCTCAGCCGCTTTGCCTCTGGAAGCACACTGTTGTTCGTGATGCCTGCTAGCTGCATAGGGGAGAGGGTACAGGGGGAAAGGGGAAGGGGGGGGGGAGGGTCACCTTGCTGCAGTTGCTTCAGCTGCTTTGCCTCTGGCAGCACACTGTTGTTCGTGATGCCTGCCAGCTGGCAGAGTGATTGGAGTGGGGAAAAATGAGGCAGGGAAGGCAAGGTGATGCAATTACAGGTCAACTATGACTACAGTCTATATATGTGACAAGGTGCAGTGCTGTGCGGTGTTGTGTGGTGTTGTGGGGTGACCCCACAGAAATGTGTACCTGGAAAGTAGCCCCTTTGTGCACCACGTCATGTGCCAAGTGCAGCTGGATAAAGTCTCTGAGAGGCATCACGAGGTGCTGTGCACTGCACTGCACTGCTGTGCGGTGCAGAGAGGTTCGTTGTGGCCCCAGACGTACCTGGAAAGTAGCTCCATTGCGCACCACATCATGCGCCAAGGGCAGCTCGATGAAGTGAGTGGTGCGGTGCAGTGCAATGCAGAGCGCTCCAGTGCGGTGCAGTGCGGTGCCAAGAGGTTCATCGTGGTCCCAGACGTACCTGGAAAGTAGCCCCATTGTGCACCACGTCATGCGCCAGGGGCAGCTCGATGAAATCCCTCAGAGGCATCACGAGGTGAGGAGCTGTGCAGTGCAGTGCGGTGCGGTGTGGTTCAGGGAGATTTGCGTGGCCGCCACAGCAATGCGTACCTGGAAGGTTGCACCATTGTGCACCACGTCGTGCGCCAGGGGCAGCTCGATGAAATCCCTCAGAGGCATCACGAGGTGCGCATGAGAGTACATGTCGTCACGGCCCTCGTCGAAACCCAGGGGTGGAGGGGGGATGCCTGTGAAGTCGCGCTGCAAGTGCAAAGGGAGGAGGAGGGGCGGGGGAAGAAGGGGGAAGAGGGGTTGTGGATAGAGGGTAAGGAAAGGCAACAAGAGGTGCGAGCGAGTCGTCAGGTGAAGCCCAGGAGTGGGGGAACACCAGTAAAGTACCACAGTCAGCACAGAGAAGGAGGGGAGGGGAGGTAGGGTACAACAAGACAAGGCCCGAATCAGCATGGAAAGGTCCAAACGTTCCTTGTATCAGTCAGGGCCAGGCCCCTGTAGCTCTCCGCGTAACAATGCATGTAGATCTTTGCATAGCCTGGTGCTGGCTGCAGTGCTGGCTGCAGTGCTGGCTGCAGTGCTGGCTGCAGTGCTGGCTGCAGTGCTGCCCTACCTCGTGCTTCTGACCTAGTGATCTCATGCAATCAAGGTGGAAAAAAACGGTTGTCGAATAAAACGATTGTTTCTTTCGATTGTATTTTACGGTATATTTCGGGAAAAATACGTCGTTTTTTTGTTAGGAAAAAACGAACGCCAATTTTTCAAAGATGCTGTTTTGAGCAAACAAGCGCCCCACAACATCTCTTGATGCATCAACAGCACTCATAACGGCCCTCTCATTCTATTTATGGAAAGTTGCCCATGTCACAGCAGCCGTTAAGAGATTTCCTGGAAAAAACGATGGTTTTTTTCCACCCAAATGCCACATTTTGTTGAAACCGTTTTTTATCGTTTTTTACGATTGATTCTTACGATACGGTATTTTACGATCGAAATTTGAAAAAAACGTCGTTTTTTTGCACCTTGCATGCAATGCAAACATGCCCATGCCACTCACCCAATCCCACAAGTCCTCCCCATGGTCACACACAGCAGCATCCACGGCCACAAATTCCTCATGTCCGTCAGCACCAGATTCCCGTAGTGCTGCCGCTGCTGCTATGGTGCTCAGCTCACTGCCCTGCGAGTGCTGAATGTGCTGCTGCTTGCATTGCTTGCAAGCACACCTGAGCTCACAATGCACTCACCCGGTCCCACAGGTCCTCCTCCATGATGACTTTTGAGTCGACTCAAAAGTCACCTGCGAGTGCTGAATGTGCTGCTGCTTGCATTGCTTGCAAGCACACCTTAGCTTACACGCCACTCACCCGGTCCCACAGGTCCTCCGCCATGGTCACGGACAGCAGCGTCCACGGCCACACGTTCCTCGTGTCTGTCGGCACCAGGTTCCTATAATGCCTGCAGTTACGCAGTGCTCACTGTGCTGCATGCATTGCTCACAAGCTCACCTAAGTTCAGTGCCAACTCACCCGGTCCCACAGGTCCTCCTCCATGGTGACGGACAGCAGCGTCCATGGCCACACGTTCCTCGTGTCCGTCGGCACCAGGTTCCTGTAGTGCTCGCGCATCTTCCTCCGGGCGGCGTAGAGCGTCTCATCCGGCAGCTGCTTCAGGTCCAGCCCCATGCTGCGCCCGGAGATGTGCACCGAGAACTCGTACATGGACAGCACTCGGTCTAAGGGCTCTCGGAAAAGGGTGGTGACGCCTGTGGCGGCGCCGGGAGGGAGCTGAGTGGTCATGCCGTAGTCGTCGTGCGTCGCCAGGAGGCGGCACCCCATGCTGGCAGCAGGGGAGGAGGGGGGTCGGGGACAGGTGTGGGGAATGGGGCAGGGGAAGAGAGGCGGTTGAGATGTGCAGTGAGAGCTCGTTGAGCGTCTCATCCGGCAGGCAGCTGCTTGAGGTCCAGCCAGCCCCATGCTGACGACGTCTGAGGCGCCTCGAAGACTGCTTGAGGTCCAGCCAGCCCCATGCTGCGCTCGAAGATGTGCACGGAGAACTCGAACATGGAGAGCACTCGGTCTAAGGGTTCACAGGAAAAGAAAAAGAGTGGTGTCGCCCGTGGCGGCGCCGGGAGGGAGTTGAGTGATCATGCTGTTGTCGTCATGAGTCGCTAGCAGGCGACACCCAATGCTGGTGGGACGATTAACAGGAAAGAACAGCCGAGACATGGTGGCATGGCATGTCCAGTGTGGCAGCCTAGCGCAGTAGAAAGCAAAAATTAATTTCGTAGTCGTCTCAAGTGTCGAAGTGCATGCTGCCTGATGAAAATGATTGCGAGTGAGAGAGCAGCAATGAGTAGCTGTTCGCCTGCTGCTGCTCACTGAACAAAGGGGCATAGCACGTGGTTGGTATGATGCCATGTTGCATTGCACGGTGCTGCTTACTGGGCTTACTGAACATAGCGGGCATGGCGAATGTGATGTGATGTGATGTGACTCACGTGGGATCGTCTCGAAGCACATGGTACGACATGTTGCACTGCACGGTGCTGGGCATGAGCGTGCTCAGGAAGCTGTGGGGAGCACAAGGGACGGAGGGAGGGGGTAAGAGAGAGAGCAAGGAGGGGAGGCGGAGGCTTTTAAGTCGATTCAACAGTCACATGTTGCACTGCACGGTGCTGGGCATGGGCGTGCTCAGGAAGCTGTGGGGAGCACAGGGGTGGAAGGGTGGAAGGTAAGAGAGGGAGAAAGGGAGCAAGGGAGCAAGGGAGCTATGTTGCGCCTGACGCTCTGGAAGGGCAGCGTCCAGCGTCCGGACGTTCACGTCCAGACGCTGGACGCGTCAAGTCGGTTTGACGCTGGACGTTCGGGAAAAAAAAAATCGGGCAGCCCGAAAAAAAAAAAATTCTCCCGCACGCAATTGAGTCGCGATTTCATTGCGACCAGAATTGCGATGAAATTGCCATGTGGGGGTTGCGTTTTTTACCTAAAGACGCAACCCACATTTATTCCCCCCCACACATTTGTACCCATCGAAATCTACTTCTCCCAACCACGTCAACCCCCAACTAAACTAGAGAACCAGCTCTAGGTCGACATTACACAGATCTGTTTCTCTCGACATTGCCTAGCAGATCTTACACTAGAATCCACCAGTCTCGCTACTAAGCCTTACTAGCTAAAATTAGGTTAAGGCGATTAAAAAATCATGTCAACTCCTAGTCCCGCCGGTCATTCTGTTAGTGGCTCCACACCTTCTGCGAGTGGTGTGGAGGGCGAACGCAAGTTTTTGTAACTTTAGGTGACAAATGTGAACTTGTTGCATTCTAACCCCTGCGTATCCTTACTAGGCATGTTTTTTTTACCCCTGCCCGGGAAAATTTTTGCCCTGCCCGGACTAGCGTCAAGTGGGCGTCCAGGGCAGAGGACACCGGGCGTCAAGCGTCTGGACGCCCCGTCCAGACGCCAGCGTCAAAAACGCCTGACGCGTCAGGCGCAACATAGCAAGGGAGCAAGGAAGCAAGGGAGCAAGGGAGCAAGGGAGCAAGGGAGTAAGAGAAGACTTTTGAGTTGACTCAAGAGTCACATGTTGCTCTGTATGGTGCTGGGCATGAGCGTGCTGAGGAAACTGCGAATCCACAAGGCATGGAGGTAAGAGGGAAGAGAGAGCGTAAGGTAAGAACCAGAGCAGGGGCAAGAGTCAGTAAGGAAGAGGCCCATGTGAGCAATGAGGACAAGTGAGCACAGCCCAGCTGATCATACTGCAAGCCCAACCACCCTTTGAGTGCAACAATCGTGACAATCACACCCACCACTGGTGATACGTCCTCCCTCCCGCTTGAGCCACGCGGAGAAAGAAGAGCGTCTGCAGCATGGGGCTCTCCCCACTAGCCGCCCGCTCCTCCCGCTGCCACTGCACCTCTGCTACCACGCTTCATACCATGCAAATTACATTCCATAGAGTCACAGTCACAGCTCGTGACAATCACACGCACCACTGGTGATACGTCCTCCCTCCCGCGCGAGCCACATGGAGAAAGAAGAGCGTCTGCGGCATGGGGCTCTCGCCACTAGCCGCCCGCTCCTCCCGCTGCCACTGCACCTCTGCTGTCTCTGCCATCTGGACATCCACCCACTCCTCCACCTCCGCCGCACAAGACGCATAGTCCAGCCTGGGAGGGGGCTCCGATTGGCCATAGCGCAGCGCTGCTGCTGAGTGGGCGAGAGTGAGCGACACCACTGGAGAAAGAGGGGAGGTGTGGGGGGAGGGGCAGGAGGGAGGACAGGGGCTGGTTGGGGGAACGGGGACAGGTCCGGCAGGTGGAGCGAGGGATGTGGGGAGGGGTGGTTAGAGATCGATGATTCGAGAGGTCACTGCACCTCCGCTGTCTCGGCCATCTGAACATCCACCCACTCCTCCACCTCTGCTGCACACAACGCATAGTCCAGCTTGGGAGGGGGCTCTGCTTGTCCGTAGCGCAGCGCTGCTGCTGAGGGGACGAGGGCGAGAGATACCACTGGCACGGTGAAGAGAGATGGGGGAAAGAGGGGAAGAGGAGGGGAAGGAAGTTGGTGATTCAAGAGTTCATAAGCATTGCAGCTGCAAGCCGGGTGTGTCTCTGCCATGTGGACATCCACCCACTCCTCCACCTCCGCCGCACACGAAGCATAGTCCAGCTTGGGAGGAAGCTCTGCTTGCACGTAGCGCAGCGCTGATGCTGCGGGGACGAGGGTGAGGGACACCACTGGAGCAGGGGGCAAGGGGGGAACGGGGAGAGGGAGCGACCAGGGGTGGGGAGCGCGTTGGGTTGGGGAGAACGGAAGAGAATGCGAGATGAGAGTCATCGGAAGGATTTAAGGATACATGAGGGAGGAGGAAAAGAAAAGAAGAGAAAAAACACGAAGAGGCAAAAGTGTCTCGTCACCGTTTTACACGTGATCTGCTTCTGAGTCATCTCATTAGAGGTGGAACTTCTTAATTTGCACGTGCGACCACAATGCGATGGCGACAACCCAATTAGGTTGATAATGCCGAGAAAAAGCTTATCGCATTTGCTTTATCGAGGATAAAAAGGGACTGAAATGCCGCAGTGTAGACTGAATAAGCGTACGTCAGACCCAACAACCACCATGATTCATGAAGCTGTCATTGACGTCGAAAAGTTGACGTTAACGAGGAAACCATGACATTGACGATGAATGTTGACATTGACGAGGAAACATTGACATTGACGAGCAAAGACTGCGTCGAAACGTATCAAATCTCTACCATATGAAGAAGTGGCATTGACGCACAGACCAATCCTTTGGAGATTTCAGGACAGCAGTACGTACCTTGCCCTTCACACTTCAGTCAATCAATAAACATGTACTTAAAATGTGGTATACGTAACGGGAAAAAATAAGCAGGAGACCTACCAATTACGACGGCGATCCACATCGTCGCAGCGCGAGGAGGACACATTGCTACCACTAGTCTCGAGGAAGCCATTTTTGGAATCATTCGAATGATACAGCTGAAAACAAGAGCCAAGAGAACTCAGCTCAGATTTTGCCAAGCAGAGTCAGAGGTTTGCCCCCCGACTGGTTTATTGCAGTTCGTCATTCGCTCAGCGGTGGAGAGCGATGTTGTGCGCTCTAGAACGGTCTTTTCTGTTTACCGAATTCAACTGCTGCTTACCAGTGGGGCCTTGCATTGCAGCCTTGAGAATGCTGACGGTCCAGTCAAGATAACAACGCGACGGGAGTATAATGAGATAGTTACAGGAGGACTGGTGTAGCAAACGATTACCAGTAATGATTTCCTTTTTTTTTTAATGCGTGTTTTTCTGCAACTCATAATGCTGAGGGTTTTTCTACCTTTCGCCCAAGTACCGTATGCAAAACATATACTGGTATGCTAAACACCCAAGCACGCCACTGGGAGTGGGTGTCTATGAGGTTACTAGACTGGCGTGTAGGGGTACACCCGACTGATCACATGGTTAGGCTGGCATTTCACCCATCCAGACCATGAAACCGGATCTTCCGAATGAAACAGCATTACGGTAGTAAGGGAACCCCCTACCAACTTATTCTTACTACTCTGTAAGCACCCACGTGCTTTGAGAGGCGTACATTTGTAACAGAAACAGTACCGTAACATAGATACACATTCTTCTACCTATTGCGACGGTGCTGATTGAGCAAGAACAGCCATTTTCCGCTGATCGGTCTTTTCAACCCCCACTACCCTTTCATCAAGTCGACCACTCAAGTGTTCCTGCCCCTGGCTAGGCACTAAAAATGGCAGCGAAGGGGTTTCCCGCCACGAGTCTGAAGACATTTCAGCCAACTCCACTGCGGAGAGTGACGATGCGGTGGCGGTAACCAGATTGTGCGGCCGAGATGTCTCGAAATCCGAATCGTGCGGTCGAGACACCTCGAATAAAGAATCATGCAGTGGCATTGGCGATCGAGAAATCTCATAATCCGGCCTGCTGTCATCTCTCATAGACACATCTCCCCTCAACACACGCCCATCCTCCCTGCCTGTACTCATATCCACACCTTCCCCTTCACTCATTCGCCTCTTAACCTCCGAATTCCCCGCCGCACCGTGACCCCCCACCGGCTCCCGGGCAGATTCGAAATCTCGGCCGCCTGCCCGGGGCTGGAACCCAGGCTGCCCGAACGGCGAGGCGAACCGCGGCTTGTCCTCAGCAGAGAAATGCCGCTTTTCCTGTGGAATGGGCGGCGACATGACCCCTTGATGCACCTTCCTGAGCATCATGTAATCCCCGTGTGGTGCCTGTGCCATCATCAAATCTGCCTCCACACTCTCCCCCGAGTACCCTCCCTGCACTATCCCCCTCATCCCCTCTCTCCCCTCTCTTCCCTCACTTCCCCCAATCCCCCCTCTCCCCTCTCTACCAACTCTACCCCCAGGCAAGTTAGGCCGGGAAATGGGTCCATTGTAAGATGCTCCTTCCCTTTTTCTCCTCATCAACGAATCTGAAACCGCCATGAGGCCTCCCCCTTGCCCTCCACCCCCTTGCACCCCACCCCCTTGCATTGCACCGCCTTGCACCCCACTCCCCGACACGAGCTCTTCTGACGACCCACCTCTCCTTATATACATCTCTCCTCCTCTCCCTGGTCCTCTGAACCCCATCGCACTCCCTCCCTCTCCTCCTCCTCCCTCCCTTCTTCTGCTCCCTCCTCCTCCTCCCCCTTCACCCCCTCCTCCCTCCCCGTGCCTCCCCGCACTACTCCCACTCCTGTCGCCCCCACCCATCCCTGCCACCCCTTCTTTTGACCCTCCCCAGCCCACTCTCCCACTCACTCTCCCACTCATTCCCTCACTCACTCCCTCACTCACCCCCTGACTCACTCCCCCACTCACACCTCCACCTCCCGCCCACATCTCCCCACTCCCATCACCATCCCCCCTCATACCCCCTGACGCCTCCCCACCTACTCCTCGCCAGCTCATCGCCAGCTCAGCCGGGACCACTCTGTTCGGATTCTCCCCTCTCCCAAACCCCCTATCCCGAGCCTCAAGCTCCCTACCGCCATCTTGTCTCCGTCCATCTGTCCCTCTCGGCGAATCTCCACCGTTGGATCCCGAGCGAGAAAACGTCAGCGTCGAGTTGTAATACCCTCGTCGGCCGCCCAACCGCTCTCCACCCCTTCCTCCTTCCTCCCCACCTCCCCCTCTCCCTCCCCCCCTCTCATCCCCATAATCCACCCCAATCTCAGAGTCATACCCCTCCTGCTGCCCCTCCCCCTGCCCCTCACCCTGCTGCTCCTGCTGCTGGTGGTGCTGCCGTTGGTGCTGCTGCTGGTGAAAATGATTCCTTACAGGAGTATTCGATAACTCCATAGCAACAGCTTCACCAAGCTCCCGAACCACCTCACTGATACTCGGTCGGTTGATACCCATGGGCTCCACACAGAGAATGCCCACCTCAGCCACCTTCCACATGGCATCTAGGAGGTATTCTGAAGGGGGCAGTGTGGGGTCGACTATTGCCTCTATGTCCCCCTGCTGCAGGTGCTTGCGTGCCTGGGGTGTCACAGGAACAGGGGGAAAGGGTAACAGGCAGAGAGAGCGGAAGAGGGAGGGAGGATGATAAGGGCTCCACACAGAGAATGCCCACCTCGGCCACTTTCCACATGGCATCTAGGAGGAATTCTGAGGGGGGCAGCGTGGGATCGACTATTGTCTCCATGTCCCCCTGCTGCAGGTGCTTGCGTGCCTGTTATGTAACAGCAGATGGGAGAGTGATTACTGCAGATGGGTGAGAGGAGAAGGTGAGAGAGAGGAGGAATGTGGAAAAAAGGTTGGGCGATAGGCAATAGCAGGGAAGGAAGGCAAGGGAAGGGGAGGCAGAATAAAGTGCAGATTTGTTGTCAACAGCAGTCAACGGCAGTGAATGCACATACCCAGTCAATGATGTTCCAGTCAACGCGTGGACGGCTGAGGTCGATGGGTTGCCGCCCACTGACCAGCTCCAGCAGCACCACCCCAAAGCTGAACACGTCACTCCTGTCTGTCAGCTGCTGCACCGTGTAGTACCTGGAGAGGGGGGGGGAGAGATAGGGGGCGAGGATAGAGAGTAAGGGGTAAAAAATGAGCTCTGTTCTGCCTGCGACAAGGTCCCCGTCTCCCACTCGCCCAGTTCCAACGTCTCCCTGATTCCAGTCAACCAACTCCCAATAGTTGATGGGTTGCCACCTGCTGACCAGCTCCAGCAGCACCACCCCAAAGCTGAGCACGTCACTGCGACCTGCGGGAGGCGATCTCCCAGTCTTCCTGTCTCCCTAACCCCCAGTCGCCCGCTGACCAGCTCCAGCAGCACCACCCCTAAGCTGAACACGTCACTGCAATCCGTCAGCTGCTGCACCGTGTAGTACCTGGCGAGAGAGGGGGGGGGGGGGAGAGAAGAGGGGGAAGGGGGGGGCGGGAAGAGGTGGGGGAGCGAGGGAAAGAGAGAGGGGGTGAGTGAGGCAAACTTCCAACCTCCCGGTCTCCCACACCTGCCGGCCGCCCACTGATCAGCTCGTGCAGCAGCACTCCAAGAATGAACACGCGCACAGCAAACACAAATGAAATCCGAGAACTCACAGCAAAGCAGTAGTACTGCTGCAGTACTCACTCTGTGTCCTGCAGTCCCAGGCGGGAGAGCCCGAAGTCGGCAACCCTTGTTGTCCCAACCCAACGACAGGCAACCATCTCAAGCAAGGCAAGGCACACTCACTCTGGGTCCAAGTAACCGGCAGTCCCCTTCACATTGGTGGAAACATGTGTGTTGTCTTGAGGGCCAAGGCGGGAGAGCCCGAAGTCGGCAACCCTTGTTGTCCCAACGACAGGCAACCATCTCATGTCAAGCAACGCAAGGCACACTCACTCTGGGTCCAAGTAACCGGCAGTCCCCTTCACATTGGTGGAAACATGTGTGTTGTCTTGAGGGCCCAGGCGGGAGAGCCCAAAGTCGGCAACTTTTGCACAGAGGCTGTCGTCGAGGAGAATGTTGGTGGTCTTGATGTCCCGATGGATGATGGAAGGGCGGAGAGCAACGTGCAGGTACTCTATGCCTGCAAAGGGAGAGGGGGGGGAGGGGGGAATGGGATGGAATGAGAAGGGAAGAGGAGAGGAGAATGTTGATGGTCCTGATGTCCCGGTGAATGATGGATGGGCGGAGAGCCACATGCAGGTACTCTATGCCTGAGGGGAAGAGAAACGGGAGGGGGAATGGGTGGACGACAAGGGAGAGAGGAGAGGAGGATGTTGGTGGTTGTAATCTCACGGTGGACGGCGGGGCGACGGCGGGGCGACGGAGGGAAAAGTGCAGGAAGATTGACAGTAACGAAACCATCCAGCCCGCGATGCTGAAGGGTGTTTTTGAGAATTCTCAAAAACACCTTAAAGTGCAGGAAAATTGAGAAGAAATGAAACCATCCAACCCCTCTTCCCCTCCGCTCTTTCGCTCTCCCCCCTCTGCATCCCTAACGTTAACAGCACCAGCACCAAGAATGATGGGGACTACACCATCCATCCAGCCCTTTCCCCCCTCCTCTCCCCCGTCCCTCATCCTCTCCCTACCTTTGGCGGCACCAACAGCGATGGAGAGGCGCTGCAGCCACCGCAACCGCCCCCTTGGCGCTCCCAACCGGTCTGCACCGCATTGAAACAGGGTGGTAATGGGAAAGCGGGAGCAGTGGGAAACACAGGAGTGAAGATTGAAGCACAGCAAGCCACAGAGAACCAAGTGGTTACTAAAGCACAAGCAGGATGGGCATAATCCTCTAATCCATACCCTCTATAGCATCACCCTCACTCACCGTATAGGTGCTCCCGCAGGTGCATGAACTCATACACCAGCAGCTGCTCCAAGCTATACCCCTTACAGAATCATCCTCACTCACCACAGAAGTGCTCATACACCAGCAACTGCTCTTACCCTACACCCTTTATAGCATCATCCCCACTCACCGTATGAGTGCTCCCGCAGGTTGCCCTGCGCCATGAACTCATACACCAGAAGCTACTCCAGTTTGCATTCCTTATAGAATCCTCCTCACTTACCGTACAAGTGTTCTCTCAAGTTGCCCTGCGCCATGAACTCATACACCAGCAGCTACTCCAGTTTGCATTCCTTATAGAATCCTCCTCACTTACCGTACAAGTGTTCTCTCAAGTTGCCCTGCGCCATGAACTCATACACCAGCAGCTACTCCAGTTTGCATTCCTTATAGAATCCTCCTCACTTACCGTACAAGTGTTCTCTCAAGTTACCCTGCGCCATGAACTCATACACCAGCAGCTACTCCAGTTTGCATTCCTTATAGAATCCTCCTCACTTACCGTACAAGTGTTCTCTCAAGTTGCCCTGCGCCATGAACTCATACACCAGCAGCTACTCCAGTTTGCATTCCTTATAGAATCCTCCTCACTTACCGTACAAGTGTTCTCTCAAGTTGCCCTGCGCCATGAACTCATACACCAGCAGCTACTCCAGTTTGCATTCCTTATAGAACCCTCCTCACTTACCGTACAAGTGTTCTCTCAAGTTGCCCTGCGCCATGAACTCATACACCAGCAGCTGCTCCAATCCATACCCTCTATAGCACCATCCCCACTCACCGTATAAGTGCTCCCTCAAGTTGCCCTGAGCCATGAACTCGTACACCAGCAGCTGCTGCCCCTGCTCCTCACAGAAGGCAATCAGCGCCACCAGGTGGGGGTGGCGGATCTTGGACAGGAACTTGAGCTGGTGGGAGAAGAAGGGAGAGAAAGGGGAAAGGGGGGGGCATGATCAGAGCAGACGGGACAGAGAGGGAGGGTGCCTCTCAGACGCCTCTAAACAATCAGTGTGCCCCTGCTCCTCACAGAAGGCAATCAGCGCCACCATCTCACTCACTCACCTCATTATTGAACTCTGTCGACCCCTGCATAGAATCCACCGCACGTCGCTTCACCGCCACCACCCGCCCATTCGCCAGCACGCCACGGTACACCGGCCCGAACCCACCCGCACCGATCATCTGCTCCTCACAGAACCCCCCTGTGGCCTCCTCCAGCTCTGCCAGGCTCATCCGCTGCACGTGTGTGGGCGGCACAGTGAATGGCGCCGGCTCCACCGCCAGCCCGTTGGGCGGCGCTTTTTGTCCGTTGTGTGCCACCTCCGCCGCTGCTCCTGCTGCTGCTGCTGCTGCTGCTGTAGCTGCTGCTGCTGCTGCTGCTGCTGTAGCTGCTGCTGCTGCTGCTGCTGCACCTGTGGCTGCATCTGTAGCAGCAGTGAAGGCAGGAGCAGAACCTTCCACATTTGGATCACTCTTACGTTCGGATACATTCCCATTGGGCAACAGAGGCTCGGTAGAGCTGGAGTTAGGTCCGGAAAGCGGCAAGGACTCTCTCTCCCTATCACTGGATCCCCCTCCTTCTCCTCTCCCGCTCACCCGCTCTCCGTCCCTCCCACTCTCACCCCCCCTCTCACTACCTCTGTCTTCCCTTGATCTGCTGCGTGACACACCAACATTTTGCCTCCCGCTCTCACCCCCTCCTCTTCCACTCCCCCCACCATACCCATCACTCCTTTTCCCCGATCCCTCGTCATCCCCATCCCCACCCTCCCCTCCACCTCCCACTGCTGCTGCCACTTCACTCCGCTTCTCCTCCCTCTCCTTCTCCCCACCCTCGCCCTTCACCCTGTCCTTCCTAACCCCTCTAAAATACATCCACACCACCAGTGCTGAAGCAATAGCAGCAACTAACAGAGATCCCACCACGGAGCCTATCAGCACGGTTCTCCCAGTACCACTCGAGTCAGCAGTAGGAGAGGGAGGAACCGAGGGCTCGGAAGGGGGTGAAGGGGAGATGGGGGAAGGTGCGGGCGGGGGGGCGGGGGGAGAGGACGGAGGGGGGGGCGGAGGGGGGAGGGCTCCGCAGTTGGGGAGATCGTAGAGGCCCTGGGGGGAGCAGAGGTCGTTGCCCGTGGCACTGGGTGGAAGGAGGGGGAAGGGAGGGGGAGAGTTGGGCTAGAGCATTGAGAAGAAAGAGAATTAGCGATCGGTCCGTATGAACGATGTGCAAGGCAGATGGCAGATGGCAGATGGCAGATGGCAGATGGCAGATGGCAGATGGCAGATGGCAGATGGCAGATGGCAGATGGCAGATGGCAGATGGCAGATGGCAGATGGCAGATGGCAGATGGCAGATGGCAGATGGCAGATGGCAGAGGGCAGAGGGCAAAACAGAGGTCATATTGAACGGGAATGGAGGTAAAAAACAGGACTTCGCAACACGACTCAAGAACAGGCGACAGCCCCTGTGGCCCCTGTGGCCCCTGTGCCCCCTGTGCTCCCTGTGCTCCCTGTGCTCCCTGTGCTCCCTGTGCCCCCTGTGCCCCCTGTGCTCCCTGTGCTCCCTGTGCTCCCTGTGCCCCCTGTGGCCCCTGCACCACTTTCATGACTTGGATGAACTGGGTGGTCATGTTGAACATGTACAGGACTCAAACAAAGTAAACTGCAACCCCTTGCCTCTCTACCCCTCTGCCTCCTATGCTCCTGTGTCCCTCTGACCCTCTGCCCACTGCACCACTTACACGAGTTGGATGAACTGCGTGGTCATGTTGAAAGGGAACAGAGGTCAAGAACAGGACTCTGAAACAGCACCTGACCCCCCTGTGCCCCTGTGCCGCTGTCATCATGTGCCCCTTGTTCCCACTGCACCACTTACACGACTTGGATGAACTGGGTGGTCAGGTTGAAAGGGAACACTCCCGTGAGGCTGTTGTTTGCCACGTTGCTGCAGCGTGCATCACCAGAGAGAGGGGAACGGAGAGGGGAACAGGAAAAAGGGCAAGGTGGTAAGGAAGAGAGGGGAACACTCCCGTGAGGCTGTTGTTTGCCACGTTGCTGCAGCGTGCACCACCAGAGAGAGGGGAATGGGCGGCGGGGGAAGGCAAGGCAATGGGGTTGGCTTCCTAGGTGTCTAAAACGAGAGGGAACACTCCCGTGGGGCTGCTGTTTGCAACGTTACTGCACTGTGCATGCATCACTGGTACCAGTGCCCGGTCAGCAGAGCAAGAAAACCTAAAAAACTACGGGTGCCAGTGTGAAGGTCACTATTTAGTCGACTCGAACAACATCGGTGCCTGCCAGTGCGAGGTTCGCAGGTTGCGTTTCCAAATGATTAAAAACACCCAGCAGAGTGTATTGTGTTGTGCACAGTTCACATCACACGCCAGGCAGAGCAGACTCACAGCTGAACTAGATTGGTGAGATTGGTGAGCGACTGAGGCACCTGTCCCTGCAGTTGGTTGTTCTGCAGTAGACTGCAAGCCACAGGGGAAAAAGAGAGGTGGCGGTGGGGGGATTGGGGTGCGGGGGATGGGAGGCACGGCGACAGGGAGGGGAATAAGGCTGGTGAGCGACTGAGGCACCTGCCCCTGCAGTTGTTTGTTCTGCAGTAGACTGCGAGAAAGAGAGCAGAAAAAACGTTGTGGTGGGGGTATTGGAGTGCGACGGATGGGGAGGCAGGGCGACAGGGAGGGGAATAAGGTTGGTGAGCGACTGAGGCACCTGCCCATGCAGTTGTTTGTTCTGGAGCAGACTGGAAGCCACGTGGGAAAGAGAGGATGAAAGAGAGGGGGTGGTACAGATAAGAGGGGGGGAGGAAGGAGGGATGGTTGAAGGAGAGAGTGGAAACAGGTTGGTGAGCAACTAAGGAGTGAGGGCGAGGTGAGAGGGTGTGAGAGGGGGTGAGGGAGCAACAGAATGAGGGAGTGAGGGAGTGCAAGAAACGCTGAACTGGCAGAAGAGAGCAGAAGACTCAGAAGACTCAGAAAACTCACAGCGTGGAGAGATCCCCAAGGTCGCCAAGGGAGCTGGGAATCTCTTTCACAAGGCCGTTGTCATTGACCCACCTGGTGGGTAAGGAGGGATTTGGGCCAGCCAGGAGATAAAGGGGAGAGGGGGGAGGAAAAGAGCGACGTAATGATTCACGTGGCACCTCAACAAGGGAATTTCTCTCACAAGGCCATGGTCATTGTCCCAGCTGCAGGGGAATCCTACGTTGGTGTTACTTTAGAGAATTCTCAGAAGTAACACCAACAAATCTGCTCACAAGGCCGTTGTTATGGACCCAGCTGGTGGGGAAAGGGGAGAATGGGCCAAGTGGCAACAGGCGAAGGAGAAGCAGATTACACAGCACCCTCAAAACAAGAGAGAGAAGGGAAGGGGGGAAGGAGAGGAGCAGAGAAAGGGTGAGGTGAATGCCCTTATGATCTGATCAAGCCCTTTGAATGGCCTCGTAAAGATAAGGAGACGCACAATCAGGCAGGCCGCACATGCACGCATGGGCGAGAGGAGTGAATACAGACAACACAAGACAAGCCAAGCCTAGACAAGACAAGACACTGCAAGACAAGACAAGACAAGCCAAGACAAGCCAAGAGAAGACAAGAAAAGACAAGCAAGCCGGTATCGAAGGGGCGAGACATGGAAGGAAGCCTGAGTGACTCACAGGTGTTGGAGGCGGGAGAGGTTAGCCAGCGATGGGGAGATGGGGCCGTGGAGACTGTAGTTGCCCAGGTAGCTGGTATGGGAAGGAAAGGGAGGATAGATTGCGGGTGAAGCAAACAGAGAGGACGGGGGGGGGGGCGCGAATGGGAGGGGAGCGATGGCAGATGCAGCAAGCAGAGAGGAGGGGATGGGAGAGGTTGGCTAGCAACCCGGAGATGAGATGGGGCTGTGATGACTGTACTGTACTTGCCCAGGTAGCTGGTGGGGGGAAAATGGGAGGGGAGCGGGAGCGAGAGAGGAGATGGCGGGTGCAGCAAGCAAAGAGGAAGGGATGGGGAGATGGGGCCCTTCAGATTGTAGTTGCTCACCCTGACATGCGACGAGCTGTCCCCCTGTGCCTGAACGCACTGAATGCCCGCCCACCTGATGACTTTTGAGTCGACTCAAAAGACATGCGACGAGCTGTCCCCTGTGCCTGAACGCACTGAATGCCCGCCCACCTGATTGGGTTGCATCGGGCCCCCACCCGTGCCACCTCTTCATACGAGCCTGGCACATCCATCCTGCCACAAATCCCTCCCCTCCCCTCCCCTACCCTGCCCTCCCTCCCCTCCCCTCCCCTCCCCTTCCCTCCCCTCCCCTCCCCTCCCTTCCCCTGCCCTGCCCTCCCCTCCCCTCCCCTCCCCTCCCCTCCCCTCCCCTCCCTTCCCCTGACCTGCCCTCCCCTCCCCTCCCCTTCCCTCCCCTACCCTCCCCTTCCCTACATCCCCTTACCCAGTTTCCCCCGTCCCCCCGTCCCCCTCTTCTCCACTCACATGCCGCTGACGTGTGACTCGCTGTCCCCCTGTGCCTGAATGCACTGAATGCCCGCCCACTTGATGGGGTTACACGGGTCCGACCCCTGCCACCCCTCCAGTGACGCTGGCGCCCCCAGTAGCGCCTGAAAATCGCGCAGGGCGGAGACTGGGGGGTTGGGGGGGGGGGCGGGGAAAGGTGGGGGAGAAGGAAATGAGAGAAGGGGAGGGAAGGGAGTGGGAAAGTGGAAGAAGAGGGAGAATTTGGAGGGAGAATGGAAGAGGCCTTGGGAGAATGGAAGAGGCCTTGGGAGAATGGTTTTGTGCTGTTGCTTTGCTGCTACTACCTGTGCGTTACCTGGGCTGGGCCCTGAAGATCTCAACTCACCTTCATCTGCAGGTGTTGGCTTGGGAGGAGGAAACACCTCGCGTACATGTCGTTGAAATCACTCTTGAGAATTCTCAAAAGTGACACCTCGTACATGTCGTAGCTGCTGTTGGCTGGCGGCAGGCGGCTGATGCTGCTGCTGCTGGCGCTTCTGCTACTACAATCTTTGCATTCCATGTGCAGCTCAACTCACATTCATCTGCAGGTGTTGGCTTGGCAGCAGGGAACACCTCGTACATCTCAATACCGCTGATTGCTGTGCCTTGAGTCGAATCAATACAAGCTACAAGTCGACCCAAAATACGCTTCCGGATTCACACAAAACTCACCTTCAGCAGCGGGCGTTGGCTTGGCAGCAGGGAACAACTCGTACGTCTCGATGCCACTGATTGCCAGCAGCAGGTGTTGGCCTCAGTGTGGCAGAGGTGTTGCCTTAGTGTGGCGGGGCACTCACCTTCAGCAGCAGGCGTTGGCTTGGCCGCAGGGAACACCTCGTACATCTCGATGCCGCTTATAGCTGGCGGTAAACGGCTGGTAGCTGCGGGCCTGAGCAGCAGGACGGCGGGCGTGTAGAGATCCACACTCGTGAAATTCACCACCACCATCACCACCTGCTGCGCGTACAGGCTGCTACCAGTGCTGCTGCTGACACTGCTGCTGCCGGAGGAAGTAGGAGGAGCGGGTGCAGGAGCAGTGGCAGAAGGCGTGAGAGCGGTAGACGGAGCGGCGGCAGCAGCAGAAGGAAGAGGAGCGGCAGCAGCAGCAGCAAGACCTACGGTAGCAGCATGAACAGTCATGTCGCCACCACCCTCAGCAGCAGCACCACTTTTCCCCACACCACTTGCACCCACACCATTCGGCCCAGCCCGTGCCGCCCTGCCCGCCCCTTGCAGCTGCAGAAACAAATCAAATCTCCCCACCACCACCTGCTCATTCAACACGATATCAAACACCATGTCCCCCACCCTCTTCACCCGCCCCTCCACGTTCGCAAAGTACAGAATCAGCTGGAAACTCGCCGGGCTCTCGAGGAACTGAAACTGATATTCCAGCCCACTGCTGCTGTCCATGGTCCCTGTGGGTGCCTGTGGCACTGTGCGTGCTGTGAGCTGTATGAAGGGAGGAACTGCGTTGGCTGTGCCGTTCCCTGTGATTGCTTGCTCCTCTGCTGCTGCTACCACCGCTGCGCTTGCTTGCTCTTCCGCTGCTGCCGCTGCTGCTGAGGCTGCTGCTGCCCCTGCTGCCCCTGCTGCTGCTGCTGCTGCCCCTGCTGCCCCTGCTGCCCCTGCTGCCCCTGCTGCCCCTGCTGCTGCTGCTGTTGCCGCCGCTTGCGCCGATTCCTCTGCTTCTACAGACGAGCTCTCCCCCACCACCGTCCGACCCGAATCCCCAACGCCAGACGCATCAGCGCTCGCTGCAGCCGTGGCTGTGGCTCCTATGGCCGGCTTGACATTAATCGGTGTGCCAAAAACGAAGGAGTCGAATGAGTAGTCGAACATGAGTGTGGAGGAGGCAGCGCCCCCACTGGTGGCCATCACTCCGTCTGCATCCCAGATGCGATCCAAGGGGTCGTAGGGGTAGCTGGAGGGGTGGAAAAGAGTGGAGACGGGTGGAGAGGGGTGAATAGGTGAGAGGTGAGAGTAGTCGAACATGAGTTGATGAGGCAGCGCCCCCACTGGTGGCCATCAAACGCCATCTGCATCCCAGATGCGATCCAATGGGTTGTATTGTAGGGTTAGCTCCAGGGGTGGAGAGGGGTGGAGACGGGTGGAGAAGGGTGGATACGGGTGGAGAGGGGTGGAGAGGGATGAATAGGTGAGAGGTGAGAGTATTCGAACATGAGGGTGGACGAGGGGCCACCATGCCGTCACTGGTGGCCATCATGCCGTCTGCATCCCAGATGCGATCCAAGGGGTCGTAGGGGTAGCTGGAGGGATGGGGAGGGGTGGATAGGTGAGAGGTGAGAGGTGAGGGGTGCATACTACAGGCATCATAGCGTGGTGGTTAAAACGACCGCCTACTGGGGAGGAGCAAAGGCAGCACAGCACAGCACGGCACGGCAGCAGGCCCTCACTCACCGCAGCATGCGGTTGGTGAGCGAGTCATTGGCACTGAAGAGGCGCCACCAGAGCAGTTGGTAAGCACAGCACAGCACAGCACCGCACAGCACAGCACAGCACAGCACAGCACTGCACAGCACAGCACAGCACAGCACGGCCCTCACTCACCGCAGCATGCGGTTGGTGAGCGAGTCGTTGGCACTGAAGAGGCGCCACCAGAGCAGCATGACGCCCGTTGGGTCGGGCAGCGACACGTACGACTCTGCCGGCAGCGGCCTCAGCTCCAGCGCGTTCACCAGCGGCTTGCCGTAGATGCTCACGAAGCACACCTGGGGGGAAGAGGGGAGGGGGTGAGGAGGAGGGGGAGGCTGAGACTCAGATGTCGACTCAGTTGCCTATTGAAAGCAATGGCCTCAGCTCCAGCGCGTTCACCAGCGGCTTGCCGTAGATGCTCACGAAGCACACCCAGCCAAGTGAGTTTTAAGTCAACTCAAGCCACACCGCGACCTCTCCTCTACCTTCTCCTTCTCACTCCTCCCATCCACCACATACCTCGAGCTCTGTGGAGTCAACCAGCCAGCCAGCTAAGTGAGTTTTGAGTCTAAGTCAAACCAAAGCACATCAGGAGCTCTGCTATATCTTCTCGTTCTCACCCACTCCCATTCCATCCACCACATACATACCTCGAGCTCAGTGGAGTCGACTTGCCCGATGATCTCCGACACCACTCTTTCCTTCAGAGCCAGTCAGGTGGGTCTTGAGTCGATTCAGACCACACCGCAAGCTCTGCCCTTTCGTTCCCATCCCTTCAATTCCATCCACCACGTACCTCGAGCTCTGTTGAGTCAACTTGCCCGATGATCTCCGACACCACCCTTTCCTTCAGAGCCAGCACCACCGTCGCCCTGCGCACACGACACAGCACACAGAGCACACAGAGCACACACAGCAGCCGCTTTTATCAAGTTCAACAATTTCAGTAAGTCAGTACATGCAGTGTCACACACACTCATGCAAACGACAAGGAAGCGCAATATTGCAGCATCACAAACACACACACACTCACGCGAACGAGATCCCAAAGGAGACGTTGAACGCGGGCGGGCTCTTGGCCTTGTCATAATTTCCATAGTACATCACCAGCCGCAGCAGATACCTCCCAGGCTTGGCCACCGGGATGTTATAACAGTTAACGGGATACTCTGTAAAGACTCGCATGGTCGCGTCCGCGTCATAGGGCCCCCACTGCTTGCCCTTGGGAGGGGGAGCAGAGCCAGGCACTCCTGTGCTGTAGTATTGATCTGGCTGCCACCTTATTCCGGTGAGTTTGTCCACAAACGGGGGACCCGTGTATCCGCAGTTGATACTAACGAAGCCTGCAGGGCGAGCGAGACAGGGAGAGGGAAACACCAGGACATGGCAGTATCAGTATGTGTGAATACGATCAGTGCACGGTAACATGAGGTGTACTGTACTACACACCACACCATCCCATACATCGTGCAGCTTTTCAGTGTTTGCCTCATTGTGGCTCAGTGCCTTTGGTAACCCGCCGAAATCGTCCATAGTTCGCCTAGCCTCCCAATATCCGCCTAGAAGCCAATGCTCGCCTAACCGTCCACCACACGCAACTGCGAAGCATCGTAACCCTGGAACGGTGGTTAGGCTACAGCTACATGGCCGCACGCACCTGCTGTACGGCATAACCCTAGAACGGTACATGGTCAGAGGATAGCTGTACGGCTGCAAGCACCTGCTGCACGTCGTAACCTTAGAACGGTACATGGTCAGGCAATAGCTATATGGCCACAGGCAGCTTCAGTACGTCGTAACCCAAATCGGTATACGGACACCCTCGCTTCTTGAGGCGCCTCGAAAATGGTTATATAAATCCCAGCAACTGCTGTACATCGAAACCTTAATACGGTATACGGACACCCTCGCTTCTTGAGGCGCCTCGAAAATGGTTATATAAATCCCAGCAACTGCTGTACATCGAAACCTTAATACGGTATACGGACACCCTCGCTTCTTGAGGCGCGTAGAAAATGGGTTTATGTTAGTCACAAGCAACTGCTAGACATCGTAACCCTAATTCGATACATGGTCCTCCTCGTTCCTAAGGCGCCTAGTTAACGGTTGTGTGGTCGCAAGCAGCTGCAATGCATCGGAAACCTACCACGGCACACGGTCGATAAGCGTCCCAATCAACCAGATAGCAGTGCCTTGCTACAGTACGATCGTCGTAACATCTTCTCCACCGGGACACTGTCACCAGCAGAAGCCCCATGTATATGCGGTAGAACACGCTAAACACTCCTTAATACTCCTACAGAGCCGCCGTAGCCGTACTTCGCGCCGAGCAATTGACTACCAGTGGCCTGGCAAAGCAGCGATTTTTTAGTCGAGTCAAAAATATCCGCTCCAGAACAAGTGATTACCAGCGGCCTGACCAAACAGCGGGAATCTACACGACAGCTAACCAGCGGTCCAAATTAGGCGGCGGTAGCATTTATCCAACACTGCCAGAACTACGCGACCTGCAACAAGCCGAACCCTAATGTCTGTAAAACAACATCCTGGAAGCAGCAGCTGGCGAGCGGTTGCAGTAGATTCACAAAGTGAGTGGTAACCCTAAACTCGCGAACTTCCTTTGATACAGCTCTGCACGAGCTTCTACCTAAGCAACCCTAAACGAAAGTAGCAATAATAAACTACGGCATGTTTGGCCATTTCCTATCCTCAGTAGACCGCTTCAGCTTCTGTATGCGAATGAGGAAGAGCTATGGAGTGAATTTGTCCTTCACCAACCGCATGAATTCGAAGAACTTACGGACTTCCAACGTAAATAAACGATTTCATAACTAAACACCAAGCACACGATGCCACTTGCCTGCTTGAGAAGGCAGACTCGTCCCGGTATTAGCTAAAATCCGCTCCGAATGCTTTTGAGAAGAGAGTAAGCCCGACGACGTTCCAGGAATTCTGGCGGGATGAACGGCTATGATTGCTAAGGATAGAAGAAGGGAACAAACTTGTAGGTGATTCCATTTGACAGCTCTTGGTCTTGGCCGCTGGTGAGACGAGCTTACGCAAGGCAGGCCGGGACTAAACCTGTAACCAGCAGGGGTCAGCATCCTACTGAGTTCGACCCTGCTGCCATGTGCTTGCTACTACTCCTGCTGCTACTGCTGCTGCTTTCTGTATGCTCCTTGACGATCCAAATCTCCTGATCAAATAACAACTCCAGTGGTATAGCTATGCCTGCAGTATAACCGAATTCTGTGATAAGTTGACTACGACGGACTAGACAGAGAGCCACGACGTAATGCAACCCTTTCCTAGTCATCAACTATGGCAATACTAGGTCACAACCCTGCACTGCACTGCACAGCTGAGCGTCGTGCGAGTTCACCCTACAACCTGGCAGCCACAAAATCGAAGCAACACAACCGCAAACACTATTCGGCCTTATGCTTGGTTGGGGGTTGATGTACTTGGGTGGTGCGTGAGGGAGTTTTTGAGAAAATATAGGGAGGTTAACTAAGGTGAAGTACGATTTCCGGCCTTCATAAGCGGTGAGGATTTGATCGTCAAAATCAAGGTGACAAGTTCGGGAAGAGTGGCATGGAGATGATGAACCGCCGATCTGAAAGCCCGTTCCATCTAACGATTTTCGGGCAATACTACCCGTTCGCCTGCAATACTACCAGCTACCCGTTTCCATCTAACGATTTTCGGGCTTCTGGGCAGGCGGGGCGAGGAGAAAACGTGACGTTTGGTCTGACATCTCTTGGTAGGTCAAGTGCTGACTTGGGGCTACGGCTGGTGGTGGTGGCTGCCTGGTGGGTGGAATCTTTGTGGGTGTGAAGAAGGGGCAGAGGATGTGGCTGGTTACCCGTCGACGAGGCTGGGGCAGCAAGCAACCTTCCGAACCTACTCGGACACACATTCACAAACACTTTGGGCAATTCGTTCCACACAACCTTGGTTCAAAACACTCCACAGGTTTGATACGTTCGCCCACTGGGAAACCTAATGTTTAGGTCAGGCCACTGGTCCAGGTTAGATTTAGCCGAAGCCCACCTGGAGGTACGGAAAAGTGCCACAGCGTCGGCTTGTCTTGGCTTGCGAGCCGCCCAGGCCGAAGCGGACCCTGGGACCCCCAGGGCTCCACTGACACGGCATCCCTCCCGCTAAGCAATTGAGAAGGAACTTCGAGGAAGAGCAGGGATTTTTCTTACAACGAGGTCGGGAAAACGTCAGAACGTTATTTTCATAAACAGATTTCACAACATGGTTTTGCTTTTTATCGGAATATTATACTAGTATTGTGGAGGTCTGGACTGATAGTTTTAATCCTTAGGAGAACATAAATTATTTACCATTAAATCCTCATATATGTAATGATTATCGCAAAGAATAATTTTGAAACATTGTGAGAATGACCTTAGGATATTTCATGTCATTCTATAGTAATTTTTACTCTCCAATCAGATTCCAGCCAATGCAATATTCAGTCGCCTATGTCTGTAACAATATTGAGTACAGACCACGCCGCGAAACCCATACTGTCAGCTCTCCTTGGAAACAGGTGGTGGAGGCTCGCTCTCCTCAACTCTAGGTGATCGCACAATCGCATAACGACTGAATGCGACCGCTCTGGACTTCTCAAAACAACAGCCACTCTGGGTCCCACCTGACATCGCAACCGGCCAATCAGCAAAGGGGGTGGTGAAAACATCGTGGCCAAGGACCACCCTCGTCAATTTCGATGCCAAGAGACTCTCCTCTTACTGCACTGTCCCCCCAACATCTAGGCACAGGCTCCGTCCAACCACTTCTCTGATTCGGGCTGTGAGGACTAACTCAAGCAGCAGTTGTCTATTTTGCATCATACCTACGAGGATTCGCGAACCTCCAGAGCTTCGAATACCCCCTGTAGCACGCTGTTGGAAAGCTGGTGGTAGCTGTAGAAGGCTATAGTCTTGCTGCTGTGGTTCAGCTTCTGCTAAAAGAGCAGTAAGAGGAAGTTGCTCGGTTTCGCACATTCAGTCATGGCTGAGACTAAGCCAAAGGTTTTCACGTTAGAGGAGGTGTCGCAACACAACACGGAGAAGGATTGCTGGCTGATCGTGTCAGGCAAGGTGATGTAACGATGCTCGAACTGATTTCATACTAACCATTCTGGACCAGATCTGGATGATCTGTTACCGCATCCTCGTTTATAGATAACCGATTTGGAGTTTTGTCGCTGTACAGGTCTATGACGTGACTAAGTTTATGGATGACCATCCTGGCGGATCCGATGTCATGGTTTCTTCGACTGGTAAGCCCTACCATGGGGATTATGTTTGCAGAAATAGATGTTTCCATTATCACCCAAAATGGTCTGACATCTTTGCTACCTTTCTATAACTTCTCTCGTGATTGTTTTCAGGCAAAGACGCTACTGACGATTTCGAGGACATTGGCCACAGTAAGACTGCCAGAGACATGCTCGCTCAGTATTACGTCGGTGAGATTGACGAGTCGACGCTACCAGAGAAGCCGAGTAGGAACGGAAGCAGTGCTGGAGGGAGCCAGGAGAGTACGTCAACGTTGAAGCTGTTTCTGCAGTTCTTGATACCCGTGCTTATGGTGGTGCTGGCTCTTGCGGTTAGATCCTACACACAGGTTCCCAAGGTCGAGAGCTAACTTGACATGGGACTTTGTCCAATAAAACCATTATAGTTAATCGGTTGATACGCCAGTTTTGACGGACGTCAACACATAAACACTCCCTCCGCTTCTCAACATAACCACGACCACCTCCACCGCCACTCCTCCACCTCCCCCCCCCCCACCTCCTCCTCCTCCTCCTCCTCCTCCTCCTCCTCCTCCTCCTCCTCCTCCTCCTCCTCCTCCTCCTCCTCCTCCTCCTCTCCTCCTCTCCTCCTCTCCTCCTCTCCTATACTTCTCCTCGCCCTCCCCCCCTTCCTCCTCCCCCTCCCTTCCTCCTTCCCCCCTCCCTCTTTCTTTCCCCCTGCCCCCTTTTTCCCCTCCCCCTTCTTCTCCTGCCCACCCCATCCTCCTCACCCACCCCCTTCTCGGCCTCCCATCCCGCCCCTATCCCCCCCTCTTCTCTCCCTAGCTTCTCCCGCATCTCACCTCTACTCCTCCCCCTCCTGCCCCCCCCCCTCTCCCCCCCCCCCCCCTTCCCCCTTGCGTGGACGGCGCCTAGCGAGAAGCAAAGGCATTGGGTTTCTTTATTCAAGAAGTGAAAATACCGTTTCATACACGCACTTTTATTGCCCCATATGCTCATGGCGCATTCTTGATTGTTTCTTGTATTTTTTGGGACGCAACTTCACCTGTATTCAGGGTATGAAGGTACACAATTTTGAAGTTTGCAATACCGTAAACCGTAACAAGGTCAAGAAAGCAAGATCAGTGGAACATTTCAGCAGAAACAATACCAGTATCCCCATCAACTGCCTCATCATATCTTCGTGTAAGTGGGGATGATCACCCGATCCACCCCATGGGCAATGAACCATCGGCCCACATACAGTCCCGGGATGCGAATGGTGGTCCACTGGCCTGCCTTCAAGTATGGCCCTCTAGCAAACGACACAGCGCTGTTGTTTCCCATCGGCGTCATCTTGAAGAGCGGTTGCCTCAGCTGAGTACCTATCGCCGTCCGCAGCTTCACCTGCCGCATCTGCGGGAGGGTCATTCGGCGGCGCAGGATGTGGAAGGCTGTGATGTTGTACAGTGTGGGGATGCTGCTGCTCTTAGCGGGGATTCTCTTAGAGAGGGCTTCTGCCTGCACGTTGTTGGGAATGAGGATAGAGGCGTCTCGCAGTGCTGACAGGTCATACTTGGAGTTCACTGCAGGGATGCGGCGAGGGGGAAGGGGGGATTTGGGGAATAGATGGAATGAGGAAAAAGCAGTGAGTGATTTCGGACACAGAAAGGTGTAATGTTTGGTGTTAGGGGGAAGCGGGAAAGTGGCCAGCTAGGTCATGAGAAACAGGGAACGAACACGAAACGAGCAACATCGTTACAAAAAAAAAAAAAGTGCTTTAAAATAACTGGCCATTAGTCGCGGGTGCAAGGCCTTACGAGCAAAGTTGATGTATTTGGTGGCGTCCTGCGCGTATCGCGAGTACTGCGGGTACCGCTTCACGATGCTCTTCGCCATGTTTTGCAACTCAGTGCGCAGCTGCGCCTTCGTCGGCGGAGGAGGCTGCGCGCAGCTCGTCGGAACGCACGCCGCCGCCACGCACATGACTGCTACGAATAGCAAGCCACCTCCGAGTCGCGCCGCCATTTCCGGTAATTGCTTCGAGATTCAGACACGTATCTGGGCCTTGCAGGATGGATTCGCCCTTGAGAGTTAAGGGTATACTTTCTGATCGTTGAGTGTGAGAGATTAAAGACGATGATGGTCCTGAACTGGATGGTTAGGGCTGGTTGGAATCTCTGAGGCGCTCTATAACAGTCGGTATTATCGCCGTTGGAATTGTTCGTCGTGCAGAAAGCTAGGTTGTCGTTTGTATTAGGTTACTGCTAAACGGTTGCGATGTATGTAGGTTCTAACCAAGCCGTATTAATAGGAGCAAGAGAGGTGCCATGCTGGCCAGAGCGCTCCTGGCCGGATCGCTTCTGGCCAGATAGACCTTCACAGCTCGACCGTTCCATGTAACGCCCAAAGGCGCTACGACTCGCCGCCATGGACACGCGAGGAAGCTGAGTCGCCGCCAGCAGCGGTGAGACGCGGGGAGGCAGCTGCGCCATTGCCGCCATATAGCCGCCGTGCCGCGCCGATTCGGCTGGCTACACAACGCGTCAGCGTATGGTGCGATACTAAGAGGATGAGTTATGTACTACCCTAATCCTTCATTTCCTAGGCAAGTCGAGAGAGCATATGTGAAAGTTCCGTGATTGCGATTTAGAAGTTTTCATCACGTTCCAAAACGGTAAGACAGCCAATTGTGATGCTAGGTTCAAGCTCGGTGCGTTTGACGCGTGTGCGACGACGCCTGTCGGATAGCGCGTGTACGACGACCTCATTGCGAAACAGTGATTCGGTGCCACGAGGTGGGATGGTTGGGACGGTTATGAGTGTACTCGTTCGTCAGAGTGTACTTGTTATTCTCTCTTTCCATACCAAGTGCTTAATAACATAGGGCATGTCATGCATTTACTAGTTAATGATGTTGATCTTATCATGCACATTAATGTAGTATAACACTTACTGAAAAATGGAATGTTCCTCAGCACACAATGCAATGTCAGAAAATTAGTAATACGGTACACACAAATGTCTGTTGTTAAGCTCAAGTTAGTGAAGGTGTTGCAGCGGAAGCGTTTGATGGTAAGGTCCTTCAACCACCTTGCACTGGTTTGTGAGAAGAAGATGTGTTAAATTATAGCAAGGTAATACAAAAGCTTTTGTAAGATAACGAGGAATATGAAAAGATGCCACAAACTGTTTCACTGTTGCTGCTGTGGTTTGACATAGCGACGACTCGGGCAACCGCTCATTATTGAGTCAGTTGTTTGTCCTTGCTGTCGCGCTATTTTTCGTTGAATCAAATGTCGCTGACCTTTGACACTCGCGTAACTTCCAGCTGTTGCTTTCTGTCAACCTCCTCGGTTGACTCGCTGTTGCTTCGTTGTAGTTTGCTTCGCTCGTAGCTCGGTCTTCCAATATCAGAATCCCAGCCACTAACCATTCGGATAAAGGACTTGTCTGTATAGCGGGTGAGTGCGCCCATAAACCTCAGGCTAACGTGTCTGTAACCCTTCCCTAGGATCAATTGGGGATCACCAGTGGACCTCAGACACCCCCCCGTGTCAAACATTATACTTGTGTTGTTGCTGTGTAGGCTACAGTGGGTTAGCCTTTAGGGGGTACACAATTCTAGGGTTTTGTATTTGTACTCCCATCTTCTCATAGTGCACACACTTCTCTCATTCTGACATGGTATTACGAGCCTAGGTTAGGAGCCTAGGACCGATCGATCTACGGGCCCACCGTTCCGTCAGTAGTGCCCTCGTGCACCTTCTCGTTCTTGCGCCCTCGTGCGCCTCGCCTCTAGGGCGCCCTCGAGCGCCCCGCTGTTAGGCCGCGTCGTACGCTAGCCGCCCGCGCGCGGCCCGTTTTTTGCCCGCGCAGCCCGCTAGCCGCCCGCGGCCTGTTTCTGACGCGCGCGACCCAGCAGCCGCCCGCACCGCCGCAGCCGCCCACGAGCAGCCCGCTAGCCGCCCGTAGGCCGCCGCGTCGCTGCTGTAGACCGCCGCCCGCGCGCAACTGCAGCCCGCGCACAGCCGCCGCAGCCGCCCAGGCCCGCCGTCGCGTCGCCCTGCCTGTCCACGCGCGCCGCGCAACCCAGACCGAGCCGCGCCGCCCTCACTGAGCCGCGCCGCCCTGACTGAGCCGCGCCGCCTGGACCGAGCCGCGCCGCCCTGACCGAGCCGCGCCGCCCTGCTGTGCCCCACCTGCAGCATCTACTGTTCCTGCTACTGCTCCTACTGCTACTGGTCCTGCTGCTACTGTTCCTCCTCCTGCTACTGCTACTATGGCCAGTCCTACTGTGCTTACCTTTGACGCTGAGGGTCGTCCTATTAAGTTCGATGTTTGGCTCGATGACCTTCACCTCTACCTTCAGATCACCGCCAAGGACGATATTTCTCTTTATGACCACACGTCCGGCGCCGCTCCCGCTCCTGCTGCCGATGCTGATAGCACCTTGCGCTCGCAGTGGCAGACCCGTGACGCTCACGCTCGCCTAGCCGTTCGCAGCCACCTGCCGTTAGATGAGCGCGAGCATTTTGGCCAGCATAAGACCGCCAAGGAACTGTACGACGCCGTAGTCGCGCGCTACTCCTCCCCTGCCACTGCTACTATAGGCCGTCTCTCACTGCCCTACCTCTTTCCCGACCTGTCCGCCTTTGCCACTGTCGCTGACCTCATCACCCACCTCCGTACCAGTGACCTCCGCTACCGTGCCGCGCTCCTTCCCGATTTCCTCGCCAAGAACCCCCCCCCCCCCCCCGATGTACCTCACACTGTACCACCTTGTCACCCGCCTCCCTGACTCCCTTCGCACTGTCAGGGACCAGTTTCTCGCTCTCTCCCCCACTGACCTCACTGTCGACCTCCTCGAGAAGGAACTCCTAGCAGCTGAGAAGAGTATTGTAGCTGTAGGTGCCTCTCGTGGTGACCCCCGCACCCCCTTCTTTGAGGGGTGCTCCCCCTCCCCCCTCCTCCCCTCCATTGCATCTGCTGCTGCTGTCGACTACCTCGGTGCTGAGGGAGTCGGGACTGCGTCTGCTCCCGGTGGGAGGCGCAAGAGCGGCAAGGGCAAGGGGGCAGGGGTGGTGGAGGTGGAGGTGGGGGTGGCGGCGGTGGAGGGGGGGGGGGGGCGGGGGTGGTGGCGGAAGTGGGAGTGGCGCGGGTGGTGGGGGGGTCAGTGGCGGTGCAGGGGGTGGTGGCGGCGGCGGCGGTGGTGGGGGTGGGGGTGGTGGAGGAGGTGGTGGCAGTAGTGGCGGTGGTGGAGCGGGTGGCGGGCGCGGTGGAGCGGTGCAGCGTGGGGGGTTCGGAGGTGGCCAGAGGCAGCCGCAGCAGCGTCCTGGCGAGACTCCCTCGCCCCAGCAGCTTCGTGAGTGGTACTCTCAGCGTGGGGGGTCTGGGGGTGGGGGCATTT